CAAAACATTTATTACATAAAAAGACCAAGCGGAGAAACAAACTTTATTAGATGATCATCATGCCTCAAGCACAAAGCTAGATATATTATTTCTACTAACCACTCACCAATTATTTATTCCATTTTGTCTTCGCGACTCTTCATAATTAACGTGTTTGCTTGTTTCTTCGTTTTGAAAGAACTTAGTGGCTTGAAACTTTAAGTAAATAGCATCGTGATTACCATCAATAATGAGTCGTTGATATGGTCAAAATGGCGACTGAAGTTCACATTATAGAGTAGACGTTTGTTATGCTTTACTGGTTCTTTTGCTTCCATGTATTTTTCTTTCAACCTGGAAAAGTCAATGAAGAAATAACTTGAATAAAGATAACTGCTAATAAATCCACAATAGCTGAAGCTGTTAATCAAACATGAAAATATTTGGATGATAATGCAGCAATGTAATAAGTAATAAATAAGATAATACTAAAATATATTCATTTGTGGTGGCAATATGGCCAATTGTTGCGGGTGTAATCTTTGTTGGTGAAATTTTTGTCTACATGAAATGTACTGGGATAGTTTCTTTTCAACTCTCTGTTATAACTCAGTACACGGTCTGACATTTCTAAAATCTAAACCATACTTTGTCTCACATCACTACCAACTCACCCCACATCAACTTATACAAACCCAATAAAAATAATTATGAAAAATCAGTCCATGTAGCAAATTGTCACAAAATTTTACAAGTTCTTGTTTCTATATCGCTTGATTATTGTTAATGAGGGCTATGAAGTAATTGGATCATTAAAAAAGAAAATTCTAATTTAATATTGTGTGCATAAGTTAAACGAATATTTATTCTTCATTTTCTTGTGGATTATTCAGAAAGTGTTCACTTAATTAAATCCTTTGTCGAGGTAATATTGTTACCTTGTTTAATTGTCGTTCAAACTTTCTCTGAATAGTGTCCTTGCAGCTATGGAAATGATTTACTCTACTTCCAATTTACTTGAAACTAATTTAAAAGTGTTTGAATTAGTCTACTCCTACTAAACATCAATGTTATATATATGTCAATGACATTCTAAACTAGATTTGTGAAGCAAGGGAGGTTGTTCAAGATAACCGTTTAGTTGGTGTGGTATGTTAATCTTATACAAATAAAAGTTCATTTCAAATTTGCCACATAAGATTTGGTCATTGCCACACAAACAGGTTGCTAAAGTTGAATTCGTCCACAAGCTTTTTTCCAGCAATTTTTAATTTAAATGTGTGTTTCCTTCTTAGACCAAATCAGCTTTTTCTGTTTTCAAACAATACACTCTGAACAACATGAAAATAACAAATTTTATGAAGAACATGAAAAATTTGCTGTGCACATAAACAGATGGACTTCAATTTTGTTCAAATCAATTCCATAAGTTAGAATTAATATTAAAAAAACATTGATATGTTATCTACCACTTGGGAGTTCTGTTTAAAAAAAAATTTTAGGTCTCAAAACCCACTTTAGGATGAAGGCCAAGGAAAATTTTTCAGTAAGGACCCTTTGAGAAAGCTCTTTGAACAATTTAAATGGCTTTCAAATCAATTGTACAAATTTTAATTTCAATTTGCAAACAAATTTAGTGCAAAAAAAAATAACAGTATTGGACCACAATCAAGATATTTTATAGAGCTGCCCGCTGTACCAGCCAATCAGACTTCACAAAATCGAAAATATCACTATGCATGTGTACAAAAAATAAATGTGGAAACCAATGATTTCATGATCGATCTCTTATAACAAATTTATAGCCAACTAAGTGCAGCATGTGGCTGTACTAAACAGTATAAATAATATGATACTATAATACAGTGGGCTTTCAAGTACAACTTTAGAAACACATGACAAATTACGACAGCCTTGGGAAATGCTCAGGAGTTCCATAAAAGGCCGGCAACTGGCAATTTTTTGCAAAATGCTTTCAATGTTACCGTAATGGACAATTCAATACTTTTATGCTACCTGCATGTGTTATTATGTATTCCAATATGTCTATCATTTACCATTTCATGTATTTTTTACTACTTTGCCTTATCAGTGTTCACCAAGTGTGGCACTGGTCAAAAAGGCCCTAGGAAACATTAAGTTTTGTGTGTCATACACATTTGCTTTTGTATCTCAGAAAAGAATAGTGAAAACGTTTAAAAGCATTTGCTTTTGGATAAAGTTATCTTTGGGCACAATAAATAATTGTAAGGTCTTAATTATTGTTTATGCCAAAAGCTGAGAATAGCAATAGAATTACAGTGTAAATGTTGTCACACACATGCCGCCTACTTTCCTTAATTTGCTTGAAACTCTGAAAACTATTGAAACACCAAAATTACAAATATTGTAACAGGTTTTTGTCTTACATATGTACTACTTAACTACACTAAAAGCAATTACAATCGAATATCATTTTCTTTCAAATATACTGCATGAAATACAGTTCATGAACACAATGAATAATTAAAATAATTTTTTTCTTTTTAGTCTTACCTAGACATTGTATTTTAATCTGGTCATCAGTCACCAATCAGTAATCACCAAGCCAGCTCTTCGCAATCTCTAAATTTTCATTATACAATTATACAATTATACAATTATAGAGTAATTGAGATATTTCGGGCGCCATCTTGTGATGAACGCGAGTATTTACTTTTCCAAATGGCTTGGATACTCGCATAATCGCATTCGTCTCTTTCTGTTTATAACGATTAAAAAATTAATATAGCTCCGGGTCTATAAGCAGTTATCGTCAAGCATTGTCGTTTTCTAACATTCCTTCGAATTAACATCTGCTTTGGCCTTTTGCCTTACCATGTGCTCGATACATTTTGATGAATTTACCTCATCTGTTGCTTTCAAAAGGAGCCCATCGCTTCTCACAATGATGTGGACTTGTTTTTCATTGAAAATCTTTGACACGGTACCATTTCTTGTAACCTACACTGTTGTGTTTTCCCGATTTTACTCGAACAAGATTGAGGACAACTAACCAAGCCACAACCTACAATAATGATGAGGAGAGATAGGGATGGGCAGATTCCGATTAAGGCCTAGTAACTAATGCCACAGAATAGATACATACGTCCGAAATTTGATATGTTGTTTCCAGTACCCTGTCAATCATTACCATTATCAGCGGCATAACCACAGAATAGTGGCGTAACTGTATGAGCACAGTCAGTGGCTCAAGATGGTCAGAGTTACGGACATTCAGGCAATCAATCAGGTTTCAAGGGGTTTCCCTGAACGGTGTTAACAAAGGACATCGGATACAGATCACTGGTAATTCTAAAATTGACGTGGGGTACTCACTGACATACACAGTTACTTTATAATAAGCGAGAGCATAGAGTTTTTACCAGCGAACGATTGAGAGCAATTTGATTTAAAATCTTTTTCAATATTCAAAACAATAAATTATGTAGGTAACAACAATATTGATTCTTTTTGACTTGCTTGTATTTAGGAAAATAATAAAAAATTATGTTTCATCTTCGCTGTTTTCTAAAGGTCTAAGTAAACTCTAATAGCTACGCAGCAACATTCAACTGTTCCGGTAATAACAGCAATACAGGCATGGCGCCTAAGGAGGGGTGGGGAGACCCCACTTTCTCCCCGCTACCTTTATATTAACATTTATGTTTACCTTTCTGTCTACCTTCATGTATACTTTTGTGTTTAACTTTATGTCTTCCTTTATGTTTGGATTCGTTCATTTCCGGTTTTTGTGGGTTGTTGATGGTAGATATACGACCAATAATTTCACCTCAATTCCCCCCAGTATATTGAAATTTAATAGAGACGACAAGAACCACATTTCAAAAAAACGACATGAATGACATTTCAAAAAGTTCTTGCTATACAACAATAACATGCGCAAAGTCTTGCAAGATCATGCATGATGGAAAGTGTATGCATGATCTTACCAAGAAGTTTGTAGGATCATAGTAAGATCTCGGAACGATCATGAAAAGGTCTTGTAAGATCTGTTGTTAGCATTTATTTATTTTAGCTTAACTTGAGGCAAAGTAAGACCCAGTAACTTTAGTAAATATAAGTCGTATACGGACCCTCCCCCAGGCTCATTTTCGTTGTGCCGTCCCTGTAATAATTATTTTAATCTTCCCGCTCGTAAGTTACAGACCTTTGTGCTTGGATTATAATCACGTGACCCATCTCAATTTCCAAATACAAAATGAATGAACCATTACCAGTAAGACAATGTCCAAAGTTTCCTAGAATTCGTTTCTACGCAATTGACTGTAAAATGGAAATTTACTGCATGATACTACTTCACAAAGCTGCTTACACATTACTTCTAAGACTTACTTACACTGTGTTATAAAATATAAATTTTTCATTCCTACCGTTGACTTATTGAACAATTCTAATATTACAATTTACAGATGGAGGAAGTTTCTCTCCTAATTCCATTGAAATAGGAAACTGTAAATTGTGAATGAGATACCATGCATCTGAAATTTCAAACCCTTCCCACAACAAACGTAAAATTCTATACACGCCTGACGCCTGTATGTTATATCGGCCAATAGCACTGTCAAAATGATTTAAATCTCTTTTAACATTATTCTATGTAGTGGCCACACATTTTTGCCATTTTAAAACATCAATTTTAGGTCATAAATTTGGTTATAGATAAAAAGAGATTGGTAGATGGAAACATGAACTGAAAGAAGTTTCGGCTTTTTTTATGCAGAAGTGGAACATCATTATATGCTATTGCCTTACTATAGTATAAAGACGACAAAGTTGACCAAGAACAACATATGCATTTTCTGAAACTTCTTTGAATGCAAATGAGAAGAGCCAACTGGAATGTGGTACTCTTTTCATTGCTATTCAAAGTATGGTATTTGCTATTCAAAGCATGGTATACAGAATTGAGAAGACCATGAGCAGTTATTTTGTAAAAGCCTAATCATTTTCAAAAGAAATCAGAAGGGCATTACTAAATATGATGTGGTCTAAATCTTTATTTTTATACTTTCATGAAAGACAGCCTCAACACATCGATAAAATTATAGTCATGATATATCACTTACAAAAAAGCATTGAGGATTTAATGTTCGTTCATAATAATCAATCTATATTTATATATATATATACATGCTGTTCCCACTGATATTATAATATGGATTAACTTGCGTTTTTGAAACTTAATGTTTTGCAGTATTGTTTATGAGCACATTGAAATAAATTGGCAAACATTATATTTTTGGTTTGGGACAGTGCATTACTTGCTTTTGTTTCCAAAGTTGTAAATGATGTTATTGTTCTTATCATTTTTTCGTTTTTTCTGGCTCTTAGCTAATTTTCCAGTATTCATGAACTGTCGTCCTAAGGCTTTTTGCTTTGAATGATCGGCTTTTGTCCAGTGCTCGTATCTTGCGACCAAAGTCGTATTCTGTCGAAGTTTATAACACGAGACCCCATTTGTTATAAGCTTATTCCAAGGAGTGTAGAAAAACCAGTAAGTCCCATTTGTTGGATCTTCTTCGACTCCATCGATTGTGGTGATTTCTGCGCCAAAGTCTGGATACGTGCAGTATTTGAACGAATGCATTGTGCTGTTCTCTCGAGCTATTTGTACGAGATTGAACACCGTACATTTCTCCGGAATAACTAATGTGATAGGGGGAGGTGGAGTACGACCCAAGTCGACACCGAATTCCACGCGAAACGTCACCCTTATATTTGCCATGTTGAATGTCAATGAATCACAACTTTTTCTTCAATCTCGAGTACAAACAACCTAAAAAAAATATAGTTTTACGAATTGTTATAAAATTGTTGCAATTTCGAACATTTCGCATGGAAATGTTAAAAGGGAACGTTATGGATAACAGATAGAGATCATCTGTACTGACTGTACTTCATCCCGTAAATACCTTGGAATTGATTGGCACGAATATACGAAAGTGTGAAACAAGTCCTAAACATGCAGGTATCTAAAAGTAACTCGACCCAAAAGTAGGTCGACCCGACTGATGAAGGACAGTAAAATTTGGAAAATTAGAATTTGTCCTTCGATTATCCATGGTATACTGTGAATCATAATATTTTGTCATAACTTTTGTTTCATAAGTCTTTGTTACATATCATAATATTTCGTGATTTTTTGTCTAATATTAAAATATTGCTGCGAGAAAATTACTGCGTGATTGTCGTTACTTAGAACTAGTTAGCGAAGAACGCCTAGAAATTACAACTGTGTATCTTTTTATACCATTTGTCGTCGAAAGTCGAAAGTATTAAGTCGTATGAAAACAAGATACGAAAATCGTCCCATGCACGCATTAACAACAATTCGTATTGGTCCATCAATAATCCTTTGAAATTTATTGTGAAATGATATCACTACACGTAAAAACAACCAAGTGTCTAACCTTAGGCCCGGTTCAAACGTCGCATTTTACATGCGCCGAATCAAATCTGAGTTTTAGTCGACTAAAATAGTTTTATGCGTAGTTTGATTCAGACGTCGAATTTAATAGTCGCATTTATTATAGTTATGCTTCCACTTTTTCATAGTTTATTCATTTTCTTGTACTAATTTCCTAAAATGGCGAACAGGAAAATGTTGAGTTTATGCATTTCAAACATGATTCGTGTTAATAGGAAAAGACGAATATTGATGCATGTTACAGTAAATAAACTATTAGAAACGAGACGGCAACTTCTGCAAATTTCCCATGTTTTTCTACCGTTAATTGGTCAAAAAAATGCCTTCATACGTAGCCCTCCTTATCGATCATGTCGAAGACAAGATAGAAATTCCGGCTGGTGGAAGAAAGTTTGGAGTATTTATTCTGATTCAAAAAAACATTTCGTGTATCTCGAGGAAACTTTCCTTGTACATATAAATTTTTTGCACTTTAAACAAGTGTATTTTGTTAAACTTGTGCACGAAATACAAGGGCCATTACCATCACTCGCCGCCGCCATGTTTTACAACTTTGCGCATGGCATTTAGCATGGAAATAATTGATTTTTGCTTAGAAATATCTTAAAATAAATTATGCATTAAATTCGGCTCATGTAAAATGCGACGTTTGAATCAACATCGAATTTCCGTCGAATATTCGACTAACTCAGTCGAATATGCGACTAAAGTCGCATTAAATTAAAATCCGTCGAATTTAATTGATTCAAACGTCGCATTTTACATGCACATAATTCTCGCATTTGATTCGGCGCATGTAAAATGCGACGTTTGAACTGGGCCTTAACCTTTATTGAATGCAAATAATTATAACATACGCGGATGACGTGCATGGAGTGTCTGGTCTACCAGCGGTAAGATATACAACAGTATGAAAACAAACAGCAGCTGATGAGAAATTAATTTCAACCGCAAGGTAAGCAAAAAGTTCATACAGCTATTTCCTGCTGAAACACGACAGCTAACAGGTCGTATAGTTATAAACCATGCACCAAATTGAAGATGTTCCAAGTTGGCGAGTAAAAGCATGTACTTCATGTAAACTGACATCGGCTATCCGTTCAAAAATTAATAACTTTACAGCTTTATAGCTTCTATAACATTATATAGAATCCAAAATAAGCTTGGTAAGAAACCGTTTAGCAATGTGTATACATGAACACCAGAAAATACCAAGATTTTTATCGAACTCTCTAATCGACCGAAGTTAACCGAATGACATTGACCAGTCACAACTGAAGGAGTTTGCTTTACAGTTTACTTTTTTGGCCGTACAATGCTTGTAATCAATAATAAATAGAGCAGGTATTGTTTAGTGAGATAGCAAAACGTTTTAGCGCATGTTAGCCGATTACTGTCAAAAAACGCCCGTGTCATAATTCCTTTCAATAGCGTTTATCGCGATCTCAAAGCCAAAAGTATGCCTGCTATTTACAATTCAACTGACAGCACAACGAGACATTATCAATGTATATATGGATTGGAATGTGATAATCCTATATGGTGTTAATAAATAAACCCACTAAAAAAACTTTATCAATTGAGAAAATCTGTAAAGAATTGCAATAAAAAATTTCCAGACATTCTGACGGCGTTATACAGCGAGAATTTTGTTTTTATGGTTGTCGAAATAATCAATGTTTTTTCAAGCATGTCGAGACACATTCTTGCAATCAAAACGGTTGCACGTATAAGCTATAAGCTTGTGGTGCTTTAAGTGCCCATATCGTCATTTTCATTTGTGGTGATTTTAGCATCCAAAAGACTACTTCTTAGCAGTAGCGTAGTGATGTTCAACATTAGCAATCGAAGCGCTTAGCATTTCCAACCTCAACCTATAAATTTTCAATGAAAAGAGGATTGACTCCCGTCATATTCTCGATAGAAGTATTTTTGAATCACAGGCGGCTCAACACTTATTATATTGGCAAACCAGACAATTTTTAGTGAACATGATGAAAAATGGAAAAATCCGAAAGATGACTGAATATTTAAAAATGAATAGCTATAAGCAGAATATGTTTCACGCAAGATTAACAAACCCTACCTTTCGCTAACGACTTTGCGTCGGTTTCACTAACGTGGACGAAATTTGGCGATGTAATTTGCGCAAGCAGCTGTTCTTATAGTTTTGCAGCTCAGTTTGTCAGTTAGAAAGGGTAAAATAACTCATTAACAAAACAGAATAATCAAGAAGGCCATGTCATTTTCACGTGCCTCGTCCGCACTTCATGATGTAGTTCAATAGTTACGCATAAACAAAGTCATTTGATTCCAACCATATATTGTATATCCGGAATAATGCATCCCATCACCTGCTGGGTCTGTGCGTAAGTACGTATTTCCAATTTAGCGGACGTATAAAAAACTTTTTCGTTAACAACAGAATAGCATCGACCGATGCTCATTGAGTTGTATTTCGAGCAATAGCCCAATGCAATCAAATAAGAAAACTACACTCAAACTTCAAAGTGCGCTGCCAAAACTAATCATCATAGTAATTTTCATGGTTCACCCCCAATCAAAATCGTCTTTTACTTTGTTGCGCGTCTAAGAGACATAAATAAAGCTGCTTGAATTGAGCCTCTTGAAACTAATGATTTTATTTATTACAAGTTCAATACCACGGCTGTCGAAAAGTTATCAGATGACGTTTATGTTTGAGGAATTACGAAGGAACACCAAACCTTTGAACTAAGATGGGAAGTACGATTGACATACTGTGTGATCGAAAGAAACTGAAAATCCTCGTTTATAGATGTCTTTTACAAACTGGGCCATACATAAGCTGTTGAATCTTAATACTGAAAAAAAATCTTTATGTTCAAGCCTTTAACTTGGAGGCAGTGGGGGGTTTGGTGGGCAGTGAGAAAAAAATCAAAAATTGTGTACTGTTAAGTTATTTATATAATGAAAAAATGACTGTCTTGTGTTTCGTATTCGGTTACAAGCTACCTAAGAGGTGCTACAGTCCAAGGTGAGGCATGTTAAAACACCTTGTCCATATATCAAAAAGATGTATAGCAATTGGCAATGCACAGATAGTTCTCGAAATCAAATAATTTAAAAACAAAGAGCTCTCTGTTTCTTCTAATAGCACTCACTCTATTTCGAACAGCTGCGTTTTAATTGCACAAATTGAAGTTATTAATAGTAAAGTTCGTTTATAAATTGTGATATATACGATGAAAAGTTTTTGAATGCACATTTATTTTTCCATTAAAGCTGTGCACACGCGCGTTAGCATTTTCTAAACCTGTATACAAAGTCAACAAAATTCAATAATTTTGCGGCTGACACATGCAAACAAACCATTCCCAACAATCTTTTATAAAAAAATATTTAATTTATTACAGTTTTCTAATTTCTTCATTTAAGGCACGACAGACAAAATATTGTCGGTAGCGAATCTTGCTTTTGCGATCGCTTAAATGTTAAACTAAGCTGACTTTTGCCGTATTTGCAGTTACGGAAATATTTAAATTAATTTCAACTATCTTTCACTTGAGGGAGATGTAAAAAATACGATAATCTAATTACGAAACATGTTAGCACTCATGACATCTGAACGATAAAATTCATAAGATGAATTACAGTTCTATAATCACTGAACGGATTACGTGATAGATTATAAAAATATATCATGAAGCACTCGCAACTCGACGTTTTAACATAAAGAAACGCGCACATGCAGTTAAGAAAAAGTGAAAAACCTAGATTGGATTTGAGAAATCATATAGAAGAGCTTATTACTTTCGCGGAATGACGAATGCCCATAGCTGCTTTTTCAAAAAAAAACAACGCCCCATATCTCCCAGAATGCTGAAGAGTAGGGATGAAAAGCCATAAGGGAAGCGAATGAGTGATTAAAAATAGGAGACGGTTGCCGTAGTCATCCAAAGTTGGAAGGAAATACGTATACGTGTAATATAGCTGACAGCCTGACACGCTTGCAAGATTTTATATAATACATACTCATTTGTACACACACACACACACACACAAGATTGACTCATACAGATTTAATTTTACCTGTTGATGAAAGCAGCGTAACCAAATCTTATCGGGAGCTGTTGATAGCGCGAAACGGCTTTGCATCACTGTACAATTATGAGCGACTTAACATTTATCAACACAGTGTCATCAAAAAGTATTTGCATTTCTATAGCTCGGCATGCAAATCAATTACAATACCCTGAATTGATTTGTCCTTCCCACTTAAGTTTCCTTACGTAACATATCTTCTTCTTGTAATCGAACATTTTTTTTCGAACTTTCGTACGAACTTTTTTTGTCTTGTAACTTTCAATGATATCAGGAACATCCAACGAAATCAAGTGTATAAACACATATTCACATGCAAAATAAAATTTTTCTTGGTCACAAAGGTGTGACTTAAGATAAAGAAGTCTGTAAAAAATGTACAAAATAAATTCTCATTGCATCGACAGTCAACGCACGTGGCATTATAATACTTCAGAGCTTTAATTCAATTAGAATCGGGGAAGATTGTAAATAGTCGCAACGAAATCAGGTGTTATTAAATTATAGATAGATGAAACGGACAGTTGCGGGAATGATATAGAAAATTTAATGTCCTCCAGTATAATGTAGTTGCCACTTTAACGACAATCAATGCAAAAAAAAAGGCAGCCCATACAAAAATTATTATATATTATGGCCAAAAACCATGGGTTCGTAAATCTTTTTGATACCCCGACTGAATGGAATGTACATGTAAAACGTTCCTGTTTCGTGCGATGTTGCATCATCAAATAGGAAAGGATAATCTGATATCAAATCCAGGTTTTCTCGTTGAAAAAACCTGAAATCACTTTATGAAAGGTTTTTCCTTTTTTGAACAATATATGGCGGTACAATCTTGTTTCATGGTCGTAAACTTAATAGATGAAATACGGGACGTCGTCGAAACACGCAAAGAATCAAATATTAAGCAAAAGTAACTCTCCCCCCCGTTTCCAATGGAAAACACCAGGCGTCTGTTTAGGATATGCTACGAACATGGATTTTCGTGATGTTTCGTTACGCATTAAAATTTAGCTACTCTAAAAGCGAATAAGCAATAGTTAAAAATAACAGCAGCTTGTACAAACTGTTTGTCGTACAGATTGACTTAATCTAGAATCCTAGCCAAGTGAAATAACAGCACACGTAGGTTGAAGTTCAGTTTTTTTTTAACTCCTCCTGTCGCCATATCATTCGAAATATTTCGCAAATTCATTTTGTCTTTCATTTGCATTTGCACACGCGGTAAACACGTGCATTCACGCAATAATGCAATTGCGAAGAATTCAATGGACAGTTGAATGAGGAAGATCAAGGAAAGCAACGTTTTACAAAATTCGAACCCATGGAAAATGTTGAAGAATGACAGCCGGGAGTCATCTTCATACTATAGGCATCTTAAAGATAGCGCAAAGTTGCGGATCACTTAGTTACCCATAAGGAACAATAAAACAATCCATCATTTAGACGGTTTTTCTTCGTTCGAAATATTTGAACAAAAGGAAATATTTGAACAAAAGGAAGTATTTGTGCACGTGAAATCAATGTGTTACGATTTGAATGTATCGTGATGTGATTGTGTTCTCAAGGTCAAAGTTTGGCAACACATTCAATGGTAGTGGGCGTTAATAAATTATTTTTTTAGCTACGACAACGACTATCTTTAGTTTTCATATTTTCCATTGTTGCAATACCTGTATCGATAGATACGCGTTAATTAGAGAGACAAAGAAAAAAAATTTAACATGCAAACCAAGTTATTGCAAGACAGTGAAGTTAATTCATCCATCCTTTTTAATTGTTAAGATATAGTTAGCTACGGACAGTCAGTGATCGCTTGATCACAAATAAATGCCATGCACTCTCACGCGACAAGTGCACGTGTACATTGATGGTAGATTTCGACATCAAAAATCGCAAATATTTTGAATTTTTCACAAATCGTCACTGGCAGCCTTTAACTTTTATTTGTGCGAAGGAAGAAAACATGAATAGTTTTCATACGGGAATCGTAAAATTAAACGAGCAATTCGAAATTAATTGGCACACTTACTTAACAAAGTTTCTCAAAACAATGCAATGACATCCCTCACATAAACGTCGCGTTCGGACAATAAAAAAAAAAGCGCTGGGCACAACCTACGTATATGCTACAGATAAATGATACCGAGTGAGATAACGTGTAGAAATTCATTTCTTATGCTAGCTAACTCTGATTTTGTAAAGAAATTTTCATTTTGAATGCCGACAGCGAACTGGTCACAAACTTTTATCATAACATTATCGTGCAACAGGTCGCCACTCGTCTTTTTCGTTTCGCACGCAGCCTTTTGCCAAACACCGATTCCTCGAAAACAGAAAAATAGACTCTAATCAGACAGCTTGCATTGACATGCTAGAAAATGCTGCAACGAACGCTCATGAAACGACCTCCCTCATTTATTTGCATTCCATAACAGTTTGCTGCGGATGCATATTATGCCCACAAACATTCGATGAAAAAACGCCGACCATTCCCTTATTCCATAACAGGAAACTTTCAAAAAACGCAACAAATTAAGTCGTAAGAGCCCGCTGTTTTCAGAAGTCAAACATTCTATGATCTAAAGTTTCACAAAACATTTTACCTGTTCCTTATGGGGAAGGTTTTCCGGCAAAAGTCATACGAATTACATTTTAGTTTGGCAAACTGAGAAAAAGGAAAATTGAGATGAAAACCAGGGATATTTCTAGTTGGTCTTCATTGATGTACTATTTATAAAATCCTTAGTTCTAGCATAAACAAGGCGTTAATTTGTCATTTCATTCTCAATCCCCAGACATCCCAATTACCATTCGACAGTTGCACCAAAAATCTTCTTGTACACCACCGTAGTCATTTTGGATCACAGGTAGGATCATAAGGCACGCGAAGATGCCGAGAAAATTCATTTATTTTATCACAGCCTCGGACTTCGTATGGTAGCAATGGTAGTTTCGTCACGTGAAAATCTTCGTAGAGATCGTCAATCTAATACAATCGAAGGACACGACATTGGAGTTTATTCTGTTTCGAAAGATTTGCTATAATGTACTATATGCAACTGTTCCTGACCTGTTCCAAGTATTTATTTTGAATTTTCATTCGTGCCTCACAAAGATGACATGTTTCTAAAAAATAAGATACTAGAGTTATTTTCACTAAGCCCGCATTTTCAGCGCCATGTAAAGACCAATGAACCAAACATGCAAAGTACATAAATGCTGTGAGCCATGACTCACACAAAACGTACAAAAAATGTATAAACACACAACTTTTTTAAACAACGATTAAGGGATTTCCCTTCCCGATTTGGTTAAATGTTCAAGATGATTTTCCTCATCGCCCGTTTGAGAGTGATCCAAATCAGTTTGTTGGAAATTTATCTGCACTGTATTTGGCTTTTGCTTCATGCACATATTAGCTACATGAAGAATTAATGGACACCAGTAATAACATCCTTAACCCACAACCTAACACCATACCTCAGCACACAACGATTCTAACTTGAGGCGCGGAATAAAGATAAAAAATTAGGAAAAATAACTACAATTGGTGTAAACTAAACTAGAATTAAACTCGAATGCCATATAGGTTCAAAACGTAAATCTTGTTTGCTCAATTTCAAAATCAAGGGAGCGCCGTTTTTATACCTTTCTTTCTGGTATCTGGATAAACGAGTTGATTGACAATGATATTGTGCGTGTCGATATGTGATTTCGATAATTCCTGAACCAATCTTTCTGTCTCATAAACTGACAAGAACTCCGATATGCATACACAGACAAACGTCGTATGATCCTAAAAACAAATCCCAGAAATACTCATGAAAGATTCTTAGAAATTGCTACTATACAGTCCGCACGTCCGTGTTTTTACCACTAATGTTACGCAAGCAAAGAAAGTAAAATATAGCTACTACTTATAAACTGAACCGAGAACGACTCCTTCACAATAGTAAGTTTTGGCAGCGAAATGTGGCTACGAATACGTAAAGTAGTGAAAGCACTTTTTTCTCAACACTAACAACAAAAGCAAAGGACATACCGCATCTTTTAACTTCTCGCTGACTCGATTGATGATTGGCAAGGTTTCTTCCAGTTTGTTTGTTATTGTTGTGGGATCAGCGTCATCCATTCCCAACAAACCTCCAAACTGTGAGAAAATAATCGATTAAACCATGGGACAACATAACTCCTCTGATTTGACCTGACAAGCATGCAGTGGGGGTAAAAAACAGTGGAAAGTTATATAGATACTTATGGTGCTGGAGTAAGTGTGAAACGTTCTCGTCGTCAATAAAGCTACGTGAATGGGTTGCTTCAGATCTCAATAGTATCTCGCTTTACGTACCTGGCTTACAATTGGAGCAAACTGATTCTTTATTTGAAGTAACTTCCCCAGTGAGTTTTGAATCAACGATGGAAAGGATAACAATCTTAATGTATGTCCGGTAGGAGCAGTATCAAAAACCACAACCGAAAAGTCCATGTTTGTCACTAATCTGCAAGCGAAAATTCACAATACAGTGTGTATGAAAAAAAACTAAGCACTTTGGGAAAGGTCGCTAAGTAGCTTGCGTACGTACTAACGGAACGAAGTTATAAAGTTTCAAAGCTAGCGTAAGAAAATGACAAAGCTAAACAGCAATTGGAGCACATTGGTTTAAAATATGGCAAATGTTGTTCAAACTAACAAAGATTCAAGAAATTAGGCCAAAGCTCCAGGGGCGCTAGGTATCAAAATTGCGGATTATTTTGCGTTTTATTCTTCTTAATTGCAATTTTTTTTAAAACATTCATATCATTCATAAGTGTATTAAAAACAAAATGGCATTAACACTTTACTGCACGTAATTCAAAAGTGCTTCTCTGTAACACAATTTTCCCTCTTAAAATGGTTATTATTATTTGCAACAATTTTACTTTCCGATGAGCCATTCCAAGTTCAACTAACTATTTCTACGAAAAGATTTTTGCAGATCTGGCGCGCTAATGACTTTAGCGAGGTTTTTCAAACTGTTGAGTTTTTTTTATATACCGTGTATAGAAGCAGTTTTTAAATTAGCTACCATCGGGCTCATATGAGAAAATATTCCCTCTCTGCCGAAGATTACATGCAATAACGGTGCTCAAAGCAAGAAGGATAGCAGATCAGGAATAAAAATTACTTTGTTAAAGACACACAAAAACCCTTCAAGAGTAATAATTACCTTAACAGGGTCAGCGTAAAACTTCATTATCAAAAAAATCAATAGAAGGTTTTCTTCTCGCAAATAATTATCGAATGCTCAATCTTTCAGTTTCGAAAAATATTGTCTGCTGTAATATTAACCCTTTCGTCAAATGACAAAAATAAAAACTAGAGAAAAATTCAGAAGTTATCCGTTCGATTTCAAAACCGTCTTATTCGATTTCCATGTGTAAATAACCCTACGATGCAGGTAGAAAGCAGAAATAGATGCAAAAATACCTCATTACTTCAGCAAAACTCATTGCCTCGTCGATACCAGGAAATGCGCCAAGTACATCTTGAAAAAGACGTTTCCCAATACTTAAGGCATCTGCAATTCAAGAACAATAACTTCGTCAACATTGACTAGCTTCTATTAGGATTTTTCTTTTCTACTACACGCAGTCGTCACATCTGATTGGTGAGCACCATCCAACAGTCAACTTAAAAGTCTTTTTTACCGTCGTTTCAAAACATACAATAAATATTCAATAAAAAATCGCTTTAACTACAAGATAATGCAATTATTATTTTTATAAAAACCCATTTTGCTTGCGTCTATTTCGTGGAAAATAAAAAACATTTACAAATGAAGTTAAATTTTGTTGAAGATATATACATCTTTTATAAACCATGCTTTGGTCTCCAGTATCATATTCCTCGTGTTGAATTTTATCATTTAAGTCTATGTGTGAAGAAAAACTTTTGAACAAAACGTTTCCTGTTGTCCATTAAACTACTGCGTCAATTCTAGCAAAGCAGCTGTGTCTCATATTAACAGTGAATAAGCGCGACATAAGGCAGTAATTACTAATAACAGCTCATGATAATTTATGTCCATGAAACTTCATGTAACTATAGTGCGACATTTAGGCTCAAGTAACTGAGGGCTTGCATTATTTTCTGTTGCTGTCCACTTTGTAAGATACAGGCCGACAAACACAACTTTAAGTACCCCTTAAACAGCAGACATCATAGCAACAGCAGATATTGTACCACTGAATAAGCAGCTATCACTATAACAGCAACTACAACTCAAAAAAGCAGTTGTCATTACATTTTTCATTCAATTGGAATTTCTACTTGATGATCACAAACAGCCTTTAAAAACCTGTTCATTTTTATATCCATTTATAATATTACAGGATGTGCATTTCATTGAAAATGTGTAACATGTTACATGTACGTACGAAGCATTACAAAAATTTTGTGATGTTCATGTGATGCTAAATGGTGCATGATATAAGTATCACAATACCTGGTTCATCAATGAAGTCCTCTGGTAACTGTGAGAAACCAAGACTCGGATCAATTTCCTAAAGTATATGGATAATAAATAAAAACACACATTCCTCATAGATACTGTAAGCACAATATACATCATCATGCTCTATCTTTGAGAAGTTTTATTAACATGTACCGTAACTAGTAAGCATCAAAATAAACTTGCGAAAATTGAAATAAATTTTTGAATATATCTGACAATTCAGAGTCAACACTAACCATTGCATACAAATTTGGGCATTTTTTGACTGCAGTTGGACTTTTACCAAATTTCTGATTAAATGCATCAGAAATGTTGTGAGCAGGATCAGTTGATATCATCAATACATTCTCTCGTACTTTGGCCAATGATAACGCAATGCTACAACTAAATGGTATTTAAGTAAACAGATTACTTGTGTCTGGACGATTTCAATGTTCTTATTTTCAGTATAACTGTGTAGGCTTCTATGTTGAACAGAACACTACTTTAAGTCGTTTTGACTCACCTACACGTAGTCTTTCCCACTCCACCTTTACCGCCAACGAAAATCCATTTCAAACTAGTTTGCTCAAGGATATTATTTATAGATGGCTCCAGTGGTTCAAAGTCATCTACGTCCGTCACAAAGGCCGCCATTTTGTTTAGCTTGCTCATTGGCTCAGATACAAAATTTCATCCATGAGGATGTTGAGAGTTTTCCTTTTCATAAAAAATTGTGCCATGTTGGTATGGGTAAGCAAACACCAATTTTTCAAACAACCGTCCTTTTAAAGATCAAACATTGAAAAGAAGTCAGAAATTCGATGTTTTTCGATTGCATCCTTTTTAAGAACACGACTGCAGAGTTTCTGGATTCGTTATTAAAGTTGCAAGACATTTCAGTTTCTAAAAAAATTTGCGGTGGCGTCTATACTAAATACTTTTCAAAGTTCCCTAACTAGAGGTCTTAGACAAAATAGCAATTTTGAAAGATGCTCTCACACACATATGTAGGAAATTTTATTAAAGAATGCTTTGGTCTAAATGGTAAAAATATGCATTTATAAATTCTTTTCATTTTATATATCTCCTTATAAAAGAGGGTATATTTCTCCCCAATTTCTTTTTTAGTAAGAAATGGTGGCTGCCTGCTTGCAGCCTATATGGTTATGTACAGCAAAATAAAATTAAATGTAGACGGGGACATAAAAATAATAACTGTAACCGTGTCGACAATGGACAACTTGAGCAAGAAAACACAATAAAGTTGGTTCATTTGAAAGTTACCATTAACAATCTCATGTAATGTAGCAGAAGTTTTGTGAAGCTACCAGTACCAAAGGCTTGGACCGGTGCTGCGAGTGCGAAGATCGTTAATATTTCTTAACTTCTAATTTCAGTATTAATCATTGCTGCTACTTAGTTCGGCTTGATAAAACTTATTTCGACAATCTGCTAAATATTGATTTTACACAATACAAAACTGTAACTTCCCATGATAATCTAAATCACTAGGCTCTACCTCAAAGTGCCAGACCTATCGAACTCTTATCCGAACAACTAATAATTCAGAATACATAAAATTAATTCGCACAATTACATTGAATTTCATTCAGGTAAACAAAAAATTAAATTCTCTGATCAATAAACTCGTCATTAATAAATATTTAGCCTAGAGCCATCAGAACGCAGGTCGTACCCCCACAACCACGGCAGCTCCACTCCTACCCATGCTCATCGTACCCACCACCTCCCACTTGTCCCACTTGCAATCATAAACCTCGACGGTGTCGTGGAATTTCTCGCCATTATACCCCCCAAACACGTAGAGTTTGTTGCTGTATGACGCAACGCTCAAGGCGCTTCGGTGGTCCAACATACTGGATACGAGCATCCACTCATCAAGAGCAGGATCGTATCGTTCAACACTACTTAACTGCGTTGTACCATCGTATCCGCCCAGCGCATAAATGTATTTACTAGCAGCAGTCACAGCTGCACCACTTCGAGCCGAATTCATCGAAGCGACCAACGTCCATTTGTCTAATGTCGAATCGTAGCATTCCACACTATAAAAATTCGTGTATGATTCATATGATCACTGATAAGTTTTAAATTTCACCACAAAAATGACGGCACATTGAAGACTTTGCTCCTCAGTCTTAGTAGTACAATAAGTGCAAACTTATACATATGTTGTTTTTCAAGAAGAGTTCGGTATCAACATTATTTAAGGCGATTATGTGCTTTAGAAATTGTCGAGAATTAATGCAAAGTGTAGATCCGGGAATCACTGCTGCGAAATGTAAATTTATAGGAGAAACAATATAATAAAATTTTCACATGTCACACACACTTTCACTTTCTTATAGTAATCTATACCCTACAGTTGCTACACTGACAAGCTAACTTATTCAAACCACCCATCGTATGTATATGGTATGTCGTAGTAACTCATCACTATCTAATAAAACGCCTAAATAGATGTCTGTATTTGACTTCACAGAGTAATTTTCAAGTTTCAGGTATGAATCAAATTTTTGATCACGCCACGCACGTACACATTAGCAATTCACCCATGCACCTATTTTGACTGGGTACTCGTCGAACAAATAATCTTGACTGAAAACCAATCAAAGGAAACATTTTAATAACCAATTCATAAACATATAGCTTTGGAGTGTCGAAGGAGGAAATTACAATCAGTCTGTTACCTATCAAGTCGACGAACGCCATCGTATCCACCGACAGCATACATTTTTCTATCGATTACGGCAACACCAACCCCTAAAACAAACCATTCAAAACACATTCATAAATTGATCCTTCGGGATGGAAACTAAAACACATTAGAAGTTGATATAGAAGTTGATTGTTTACTACGATTTGATTTGTAATATCTTACTATCTTAGTATGATATATATCACTCGAAATACATTTCGGACTCCTACAAAAAAAGTTATGTTTGAAGTTCCGTTCTGGTTCTACTGCAATGGGTACGTCAACAGTGACGTGGTAACTTCGACACTCCTTCTGACGTCACCCATTACTACGTCTGACGATAACTTATATGAAATCATCACACAACATCAATTACAAAAACCCACCTATCCTGGGAACAGTCAAGGGGGCGACTTCCACCCAAGAATCTTCATCGGCATCATACTTTTCCACGTGATTCAAATACAAGTTGCCATGGCTTCCTCCAATAGCAAAGACAAAACCATCAATGACACCAATGCCGACACGATTACGCGGCACCGTTAAAGGGCGAACCGATTTCCATTCATCCAATAGAGGATCGTAACGGTCGACAGAATCACAATCCACGTTGCCACTTAACGAGTTGTTACGTCCCCCAATAAGATAAAGCATTCCACCTGGGCAAACAAACAGAGCTTACGTATAACTGCTAATGATTATGTACGTGAATGAAATGTTTTCAGAATGCAACAGGCTAAGTTTAAAGTGGAAGCTTCTAGAAGTCAAATCGTACCTACGAAGGCGGCGCCAGCTCCACTTCTTGGTTGATGTAAAGACTTAAGCAAATTCCAAGAATTATGACGCGGATAGTAACATTCTACAACTCGCAAAGATTGCCTCAAATATCCACCAACAACATACATGACTTCCGGTCCCATAGGAGAACGCTTTTTCACGTGCACCGCACGTGAAACACGACTCTATAAAGAAGAGTTTTTTCATGTTGACAATCGTCAAACATTGACTGATCACAGGTCAACAACTTTCAATTAACTCTACAGTTTACCTTTAATGAAAGTTAAATTTGTATATACGTACATGGAAGAATAATCATGTATAGGCAAGATTAAAGAAGCCAGGCATGTAAATAAGCTCAAACCTGAACTTAATAAAAAAAGATTATTTCTACACATGATCCTATAAAGAAAGGTATTCATTTAAATATCCTTAAAATCACATGAAATATTCAATAAATAGAGCAGTAATGTGTAATATTTCATTGCAGCATGTATATACATAACACTTCAAATTGTGGTAATCAGTAACATTAAATTGTTCCACATAGGAAAAGGAGACCATCATTATATCCCTCTTTTCCAAGTGCAGAATCATAAAAGAAACAGTTAAATTCCTTACTGTGCAGATATCTGATATTAGTTGCAATAACATTGCATCATTTTCATCGGAAGACTTGCACAATGATTGAACAAAACCAGGAGATACAAAAGGTAAACGGACATAGGAGAGCAACCTCCATAGTGAATTCCTTCGATTGTTCATGTCATGCTTCATCCATCTTATTACTGCTAACAAAACCTGAAAAATAAAATTCAATATTGCACAGAAATGTACAAGCCTTACATAACTTTTGCAGTCATAGTTATTAAGATCTCCCAAGAAATAAATTGCCTGAATCAAAATTAGAATCCATGATTTAACAATAGTGAAGATTTTGGCTGTCATGTCACCTGATCATTGCCATGTTTGGGAATGGAAAACACAGACTTGTGCTTGCATTAAGAAATAAAACAATCTAAATAAACTGGAGCCAAAGACCACTGCCTGGTAATAAACTACATAGACTATGGGAATTTCTTTGTGAAAACAGATGATAAAAGTGAAGTATCACAGAATGGCTGATTTTCAAGATGTTCATGCCCTTTTCAAAAATTGTCAAATTGAATGCTCTAGTTTCTTTTTGAAAACAGTTTGCCAATGCATGCACAGTCTTCTACCACCTTCCAATATTAAAATTAAAGTCAGGCTTGAATTATTGCTTCTCTGGGGTTATAGCAACATAAATGGGCTTCTTTAGGTTATGACTCAACTGTACATGGTAACAGTTGACACCTAAAATTTGTTCCTTTATAATACTCACCTCGTCTTCATTCTTCACACACAGCCCATCACCATTCATTAAATGGCACAGTTGATCTTCAGAAATCGAGAGAAATTCTTCAGCCCTGGCTACCTTGGAAAAATATCGGCTGCAGTAGTGACGAGACTTTCTTGTTAATTCATTACAGCCATGCAACTCGGCAAATCCTAAAATTCCTAAACAATTCGTGGGATCAAGCTGCCCTTCCAAAAACGTGCAACAAGCTTTCTTCACGGCAGACATCTGAAGCAAAGATGCAACAGGTAATAATGCTTGAACATTTTTTTCATTCACCGATATGTCAGCAGTGTAAGCAAAGTTAATTAGAGTTTTAACACAATTTTCATCCATGTCCTTCAGTGTCACAACGGATTGTTTACTCTCCGCCAAGTTGTTTGTGAACATTGCATAAAAGTATGGGCTACACGATGCCAAAACTAGTCGATGTGCATGAATTTTAATATTACCAACACAAAGAACAATATCACATAGCTCTTGATGATTCCTCAAAGTGTTCATGATTGTAAACGCCTCGCGTAAATGTTCTTCAATATGAAGAATTCCTTCGTTCATTTTATCAACTGATGTATTTTCCATGAATTTTTTTATGGGAATTTACTAAAATTACGAAAGTTACTACATATTTGTAACTTATAACGCTTTTGAAGTGCATTGAGAATAAATGTTTACTAGTTCGACTTCGTTCCCAGGACCTTCGTTTTTAAAATGCTATAGATGTTGACAAATGACGATATTGACAGAGTGGGTGTTTATAGTAAGTCTAGTCCAGCACACGTCCATTGTCAAGATCACCGATCCCGACTCGTGAGTCAAGATAATAATACAAAATGTTTTACAAGTTTGCCATTCAAAAATAAGTTTTTGGCTTTTTGCTAGTTTTCACCCTCTTGTGTATGTTTTCTATCCTAGGTCTCAGGGATATATGTGGTTATGTGGTGGGGATGGGGTAGGCATATTTACTCCAATTATGCTGTAATACCCCCTAAGGCCCAACCCTATAACCAATTTATTCAATACATGATATACCTTGTCCATACTTTTCCTTCAAACCATCTTACTACTGATATACATTTTGTCATACTGGAAAAATGTTGCTGCAAACATATCTTAATCTTTGTGATTCGTGCAACAAAATTACGTGAAATTTAAAAATATGCATTTAAACTGTAAACAACTGAGTATAGACAAGGAAAACAGCAAGGAGTTTTTTATTGGCATTACAAAAAGAATGAAGTTATTCTTGCAAGGTGGTGGACAAATGATGTTTCTTGTAAGAAAAAATATTCAAATAAAACAAAAATACATTATGAAATGGAAAAAATCATGTAAAGACTAGAATGACTTTAAACCTTTCATTTGAAACAACCATGTTGTAAGTATTGCTTTGGCTATGAAAAATGGATGGTAGCAAAATAAAGCAGTAGCAGGCAATATTTTGTATCAGTTTGAGGCATAATTTGATATGTTTGAAAATGCAATATAGCTGTGGCTGAGAATGAACTAAAGAAGCTTGTGGTTAGATGGCTCTGAGTTATATCACATCTCTTACCTCAAAGAACCATTTATCATGCTGAATAACATGAACAAGTAAATGGAATTACTATATGTACATAAAGTAAATGGTTTGAACCTGTAATGTCTAAATCGATGTCTAAATGTAATGTCTAAATCATGTCACAAAACTGCTGTCATATTGGTTGATCATACATCAAAACAGGGAAGATCATGACTATTTAAAATTAACATCTTCAGTTTTCCATCTACATAATCTACAACCTGTGACCAACGTTGCTGATGTACATGGATGTAAGTTTGCAGATTTCCTAGCAATCCTCAATATTGTTTGATTATATTTCTGAAAACGGCAATTGATAAATGTACTTTATATTGATGACAAATCAAATAAACAACAATTTTTGAGAGTAAACATGTTGCAGCCTACTTTATACCATCCTCAGTGCAAAGCAAATAAGAAATTTACATTAATACAAGATAATATATATACAATGTCGTGTGATGAAATCATAAGTACAGATTACTTATGCATAATTACAAATATACAGGTGAATAAGATGTTAGATTTTAAATATTGATGTTAAGGGTTATAATAACAAAAAAAAAAAAATAATGTACAAAATGTATCAAAGTACAATAGTTATACATAATTGTCATTTATTTGAAATGTCTGATGACCTGCAAAATTTCAATGATAAATTGCTCAATTCTTTATCATTGTTCGTTTACTATTAATATCCCTTTATGAACTTTGTCCATCCTCTCCAGGAACACTCAATGATCATTGTCACTACTCTACATGGATGTTGATGCTTCGTTTTCCTATCCTCTATCAATGCTTTTCTGTAATCATCCTTGCTTGAGTCTGTCCATAAATTGTAAACTGCAGTTGGAAAAGGAGTAAAGAAGGACAAGATGTAGCTTGCAAGTATTTGGGCAAGTCTACCATTACCATCACCAAATGGGTGCAAAGTAAGAAATTGAAAAAGAAACCAAGCACACAGTTTAAACATGTTGTAGTAATCATTGTAACATGTTAGTCCATTTTTTGTTACATAATTAAACAGTTCGTTGTACCTGTCAATGAGAGTCTGTACTGTTTCTTCCATATTCTCGGGGCAAGGATATTCATGTGTTTCACCTTTAAACGGCGCATATCGCCTATTTTGACTGAATTGTCCAGGCTTGGTAGAGTTGTTTGCTCGTAATGGCAGAATTATCTTATGCATTTCTTGTAATAAACTCACCTCCAAAAGTCCATAATCCTCTGGTTTTTCTTCCTCAGTTACTTTTCCTATCAGATACCGATATGCATTAGCCGTATTCTTGATCTCCTGGGTGTCCTCATCGAAAGTTGACGAGCCATTACCTTCCTCCTGGTTCACACGATTTATGTATTCCACGAAAAAGGTATTCTTTACTTCCTCAACTAAATTCGCTGGCATTTGCTTCTTCAAGTCCTTCCACTGATTGCAGCAGACTATTATTTCGTTGATCATTTTTTCGACTGTCATATTTGCAAGGTTGTCATTACTGCCTTCAGTGGCTATCCAAGGCAATTTTGCGTATTCGACAGCCTCAAATTGTAGTAACTGAAATGCCATTTCCGATCTACGTTTCGTGTGAAATACGTTGAAAACGAAGTATTTCCTGGTTGTCGCAATTTTGTGTCGTAATAAGCTTGGTTAGGTAGACAGTGTAGCGCATGCGTTGGTTAGTTAATAGTTACGTTGCTTCCCCCAACACAAATAACCAAGAACAATACTTCATAGCTCTAGAAACTTCATCGTTGTGCTCAACATTGTAAATGCCTTGCTTAATTGTTCTTCAGTATGAAGAAGTCCTAGTTCATTTTTTTAATTAAAATACATATTTTGTATGATATTTTTTCAATAAATCATACTAAACAAAGTTACTACATATTTGTAACTTTTAATGCTTATTGTATAATAGCATTTGGCATTTGTAGTTAGCGAAATGTGAATGCATACTTGCTCACATACCTTCCTGGGGTTTTTGTTTCCTCTAGCTGCACACTTGGTTTAAACTAAACTTCCTTGGTTTTGAGGACATTTGATCACTAATAATGTCCTGACTGCGGCAGCTCAATGACTAAGTTTGACTGATAGATCAAATCAAAAACTTGAAAAAGTTAACAGATAATGTATTATTAAAAAATCATGTCACAAAACTGTGGCCAAATTGACAGATAATAAAACAAAACAAGGAAGATTATGACTATAATTAGATGTAACATCTTCCATTTTGCCAACCAGATTATCTATGACCATCATTGCTGATGTACATGAATTTGCAGATATCATAGCATTTGTTAATGTTGTTTGATGACCTTTCTGAAAAAAAAATTGTATCTCACAGACAAATACAGCTACTCATTTCTTATTTTCAGCAGTGTTTTCTCCCAAAGAATTAATATCTTTAATGAGCTTAGTCCATCCTTTCCACGAACACTCAATAATCATTGTCGCCAGTTTGCATGGATTGCGCTCTTTAGACTTCCTAGCTTCTATTAATGAATCCAAGCAATCATTGTTCCCAGAGTCTTTCCAAAAATTGTATATTGGTACAGGAAAAGGTGTGAAACATGACAAGATGTAGCTTGCAAGTATTCGGGCAAGTCTACCATTACCATCACCAAAAGGGTGCAAAGTAAGAAATTCAAAAAAAAACCATGCACACAGTTTAAACATGTTGTAGTAATCGTTGTAACATGCTAGCCCATTTTTGGTTATGTCATCAAACAGCTTGTTGTACCTGTCAATGAGAGTCTGTACTGTTTTTTCCATATTCTCGGGGCAAGGATATTCATGTGTTTCACCTTTAAACGTCGCATATCGCCTATTTTGACTGAATTGTCCAGGTCTGGTAGAGTTCTTTGCTGGTAATGGCAGATCCTGCAAAATTATCTTATGTGTTTCTTGTAATAAACTCACCTCCAAAAGTCCATAATCCTCTGAATTTTCTTCCTCAGTTACTTTCCTTATCAGATGCTGGTATGCATTACGCACATTAATAGTCTCCTGCATCTTAATTAAGTGCGACCTGGCAAAGTAGTCGGGATTCTTCAGTGCCGTTTCTGTTTCCTCACGAGTTTGGCAGCCATGGCCTTCTTCCTTGTTCACATGATAAACATATTCTGTGACGAAAGAATCCTTTACTTTTTCAGTCACATTTGAGCTACAATTCGACATCATCCTCTTCCACGTCTCGTGGCAGTGTAATATTTCCATAATCATTTCTCTAACAGTAATATTTGACCTGCTGTTATAGCTTTGTCCGTTGTCGTCGTACCGCCATGATGGATGTTCAACGGCATCAAAACCAAGCAGGTCTTTAGGTTTGTATTGCCGCAAAAAAACAATTTCTCTCATCTCAAATCACAAATAAAGATAGTTGTCACACCTAAATCATTCAGGCAATGTGCCTAAAATGCCACGGACACCACAAAAGAAACGAAAATCATGAACTGGATATTGGAATAGACTTGACACCCAAACATAGAAAGGGCGGGAAAATGCACAAACAAGTTTTATACCAGTTGTCAGTTGTCAGTTGGGTGTATGGAAGGTGAGTAGTGAAGGTGAGGTACAGACGGGGGGTTGCGTCCAGTTTGTATTTCACAAATCTGGAGTTCAGAGTGATCCCAATCATTGAAAGCCTGACCACACCGGACTGCACCTTATCACACCGAATCAAGTTCGATGGAAAAGAAAATAACAAAAAAATTTTTGCTCTGTACTTCACCGCAACGTGTCGACATGTCGATAATGATGACCTATTGCTATATCCGTGAATATATCATGCGATATATGATACTCGTTTCCAGTCTGTGCGCGCCGTTCCTACGATTGTACGGTATTAACATTGGTTACTGCATAACCTCATTAAAACAATAGTAACAAAACCTCGTAACCAACCAAACCCTCGTGACCAAACAATGAACTGTAAAATACCATTTCACTGCGACCAACCATTGGCTGTTGAGCGGCGGTCATTGTGTACAAATTAGACGTTCAAAAATAGGAATAGAAAGACAATAAAATGATTTTTAACTTACTTTGACCATCCAGTGAGAATTCACTACTTGAAAGTCAACAATTTAGCATCAATATATTATAGTTGTCTGTTCATCTGGATGAGTTCATTCTTAGTTGAGGGTGATTTCCATTCAAAAATCGAAACATGATAATTTTGGGTTTTGGGTGCCGCTGGGTGTTGAATACCTTTTTAAGAAGAGGAATCAATGGCTGCATGTTTTGAAAATGAAAGAATCTGGCAAATGACTAGTAGTAGTAAATGTCATGTGCAGATTTATTTCTTTGAAAATGCATGCTTTACAAAAAGCATATATGAACAACACTAAACCAATGGCAGATAGCCCCTACAATAATATAGCACAAATTTGTGGATGACTTTGCAAAAAGTTAATAGTTACGTTAGTCCCATATGATCTAACGACGACCGTTCAAAATAACGTAATAGTGTAGCCTGCAGATTTCACACTACATTTCCATAAAAAAACACACAAAAAAACTAAATTTTATATCTGTGTTTTAGTTGAGCCAAAATATTTACACCAAAGGTACTTTTAAAGACTATAATTTATTGTATATGCATCGTCGTTTTCTATAAATTCGTATACAAACTTAGTTGCTATACTAAGTTTTGGTAAGTAAATACCACAAAAACAACTTTTTGTCACATTCATTTCCATTACCGGATCCAGGGTAGGTCTGAAAAAATATTACTGAAAACATATTTTCATTTTAAAATACTTGTAAGCAAATGCTGTTGGACGTATTTTTGTCCTAGATTCGCCACTGACGTGATTTCTCTATGATACAAAATCAAGCCAATATTCTCATTAATCATCTAGCTGCCAGATCTAAAGCCACCAGCAGTAATTCTCAAGTCGTTTATTTGTGCCATTCAGCCTGTTTCATATCATGAAGATCTTCTGCTATCTATAAAATAATATTGACACGAGAAGAAAATTCGAGAATATTGCTTCTCTGACGAGCAAAAAACGTATTCAAGAATTTTTGCAAGATATCTTCACAAATGGTTTTGTAATTCCGTTCAGGAAACCGACAATTTATTTTAAAGCATTTTTTTGTCAAGTATGAATGACAAATTTTTTTGAAAAATATTAACATGCACAAGTTCATCTACGACGAATTTTTGAATCGGCGGTATACACGTCACTGATTCCCCCACCCCACTAACAGTCAGTCTAGGTAGGAAAGAGGCAATTGAGTTGCCTCTATTGATCCCCAAGAAAGTTTCTCATGAGGATCTTCAGCCCCAGGACGACGTTGACAGAACGATAATTTGGGGGCGTATTCATATATGCATGCATGCCGTACTCTTTTCTTTTGAAATCTACTGTTTTTTACGGATTATAAAATGAATATTTGAATATAGGCCGGCCTATTTCATTGTATCCAGAAACGCAACTGCTTCTATTATGTTAGTATTCTGCGATTTAAATTCATTTGCTTACTGAAAATTGACATCCTGTTTCCACTTGGACTTCGTCAATACTCGTCCCAGGCCAGATTTCCGTTAACGTCAACCCGTTTTTGCGGTCAACATTAAAGACACACTGTAAATATAATAATGGAAAAGTTTTACATGATTTTTTAAAATCACGTATCCTGTCCAAATCATGGAGTTATTTCACACACATTGGTTCAGTAAAACAGTAAAAGAAGCGTTGCATAGTAAGACATATCACTACATCGACCTCGGTTTAGTATTCGTTCATATGGTCCTCTCAAACAGCAATTTAAAAATACAGTGTGAGTATAAAAATGTTTTTATGTAAATTTCATGTCTCCTTTAACATCCTACTTTCTTAAAAACAATCCAAAAGAAAACGGCTGGCGAAATAAACTACTCACAATGAGAGAAATTAGCAATTTTCCCTGAGACATATCATGTGCATACACCATTATGAATTTACAACTAACCTTTTCCGTGATTACTGCGTCGACACAACGCTCACCGGTTAGCGGTAAGGTACATTCTTCTAGAATTTTATGCTTCCCTTCCTATTTTCATAACAAAATCCAAGTAATACAGAAAATTCACTTTGTCACGAGCTTTCGAGCATCGTAGTGTAAATGGAAAATATCAGGGACATCGGGTAGGGAACTGGAAACTAACGCAAACTACAACTAAAATTACCTTAGTATTATGTTCCATTGTTACAATGACTTTCGTGTCTGGACATGAAACCAAATCCATTGCTCCTCCCATCCCTTTAACTTTTTTCCCCTTTTAAAACAAAAAGTTGAACGTACAAAAACTTAATTCAGAATTTCAATAACCATCGAATAATTACAGTATCAACTCACAGGAATCATCCAATTTGCCAAATCACCGTACTGAGAAACTTGCATACCACCAAGGACAGTCACATCGACATGGCCACTATACATAAAGATAAATGTGTTCACCATGCAAGTAGCGATAATTGCATGTATGTTGAATTCAAATAACTACTTGGCAGATGCAACGTTTCTAGTGGTTGATTTGGTTTGTGGCTCAACATTTAATTTGGGCAAATTTCACGTATTGCAGGCTAAGACGTCGGGTTCGCAAATATTTTCAACATTTGAAAGGATTTATATATCCTAAAACTATCCCTTACGTTGAAACATTATAATTTACTAGATGCAACGTCGAGTATAGAGCTGTTAAACGACAGAGCTCATTCAGAGTCGAAGCTTTTCATATAGCCAATGATCATATCATGCACACATTTATTAATATACTGTAGAGACTGTCATCAGCTTACCCACGAATCATAGCAAATGATTCGTCACTTCCAAAAAATGCTGCTCCTGGAAGAACGGTGACGGTTTCTTTACCTGAAACAAACAAGTGGAAAAATATTCCATACAATGTATTTGGAAAATATTTATTGCTATATTTATCATATATATATGAAAGATAAAGATACAGAATTTCCAAATGGGTGAAACTGACAACGGACACAATAAAAAGTCGGCAGAGAATGATCAAAAAATGAACATGTTTCTTATCATGGAATTACTCTCGAGTTCTTCCAAATGTCTCCTCAGTTTGCATAAGCCCGTGCAAACACATTAAACATCTTTTATTTCTTAAATAACAACAAATGCACATAATTAATGACGTGTTCAGTTGGTCACTGCGCGATCGCACAGCATTCTAGAAAAAATAATATGGAAACTATTTCACTGAGTTAACCATCTCAATGATACAATGTTAACTTGAGTACTAGCCCAATTTTTTCTCCAAAAACAGTACACAGCTCAAGACCTTACACAGCGTGCTCCGGTGTGATTACAATGCGTAACTCCAAACTGCCTTCATTCATTCCCTAATAGTCGTATTTGGCTACCTGCACTTAATAATATTGTGGTGACATTTTATAATAAGAAGTTGCACTTGTAAAGCCAAAATGAAAATCACTCGAAAATTAAATGACATTAACATAACTATTGTATGAAATAACACGAAAATTGGGAAGAGTACAAAAACTATAAAAACAATCCTTACCTGCATTAATCAAATCTGGGTCGACTTCATCCTCTGAAGGAAGTGGTCCCTAAACAATTGATTTGTATTCATTACACTTATATCGACTTATTTTTACACGCATGCATTCCATTACACTCTCACATAAACTCACTAAGTCATTATCTCTCTTAACGAAAAAGCGAGAGCACAAGTCAAATCGACTGAAAGCGACTATTTTAAGGAAGTTCTTGGTTTCGACCTAGCCACCTACACGTTATTAAAAGGCTCCAGCAAACAGCCATCTTAAGACATTTTTACGAAATGAATCTCTTTAGTCTAAACCAACAGTCCCACCGTCACCATCAATAAGTAATATATTTATTATAGAAGTAATGTAATTTATTTCATCTTTATCTCGTTAAAAATTATAAATCGAATCACTTAGAGAGTACAATTCACGAAACAGAACTCAGCTTATTAAGTAAGACTATTTAAGGAATACTAAATGGACGTTTCGCTTACAACTAACTGCTGTCGTAAACAAAATTGCTGTTTTCCTCACCAATCCCAAAATTCCATTTTCGCTCTGAAGATGAACTGTAATGTTGGGATCGATAAAGTTGCTCGCTAACATTGGCATTCCAATACCCAAATTTACTGATATTTTGTTAAGATTAACGCATTAAACAGCAATAGTATCGTATTGACAACTTTTGACCTCATTAATAACTGACAGACGTACTAACACAGGCAATTTAATATCAAGCCGAAAAGTTCGAGACTTTACCCGAAAGCACAAAATTATGACAAAACAGAAAGTCATCGCCAGTGACTTTTGTGTAACTGACAAAGAATCGCCCAGGATATTTCTGCTCGCCCCCTGTGTGCTGCACTGCCCGGGTGGCATATCAATGGCGAAAAGCTCTTAAGCAAAATCGATTGAGAATTTGAGATGATCTTGTGTACATTGATATTCCGTACTTATAGCAAGCCACTATTGTGAAAATTTACTCCTATCCTGTTTTATGGTCGCAATAAAGTGAATTATACCGATCATTTATGAGGCCATGAGCTCGAGGGACTTGACTAGTGAAAAATTTACGTAACTTGAGGATTTTAAAGAAAGTGCAGTCAAAAAGAACTCTCTCGATTATTGCCAATAAAAGCATGCACTATTGGTTGTATGAAAGTTCTGCGTACGCTGATTGATCTATACTTGCGGTCTAGTAGCAAGGGATTAAACTCTGAAGAGTATTAAACTTCGCGCCGGTAGTAATATCTGCAAAGGATACTATACATGCCGTCTTTAAATTCTAAAGCAGCACGGCGAATTATCCTTTCGCGTAGAAGATCGTGGTCAGATTGAACCTTTCCACTGCTGCTGCCATCTTTATAAAGGTGAAGTCGCTTAAAAGGGAATGAACGATAAACTCTAAATGTCAATGCCCAATACGGTCCACCATGCAATACGTATATAAACACTCCAAACGCGTTAACTTTTACTAGAGTTTAGAAACCTGTTTTGCACATTACACGTAGCTACAATTGTAAAATGCACTTTACACGTTATCGTAAAAATTTTATTTACAGACAATTGGGGCCAGGCTGTTTAAGTCAATGTATAATTATATATAATTTTAAATTCAGATGGTAATGAACTTTATTCTAAAAACTGTTATGAATTAAATCTTTATACTCGACTTTCAAGCTGCTGCATAACAGAAAACGTTTTCTCTGTGGCTTTCACCAACCCAAGAACAAGCTATAGCTACTATTTTCAGTTATGCGACTATATTCTTTCATTTTAAAGCAGTTCCACGTTTTGTTCCGGGGAGCGGCACGTATAATCGTCGCTTCACCAATACGAAAATTTCGATTGAGAAATACTTCGTTTTCAAAGCCAAAAGCAAGATTTACAAATATTCCTCAAAATGCTATTTTCGGTTCGGTGAATTTCAGTTTTGTTACAAATACCTCTATCCTTTTCTCGTATTTTTCACCTTTGACAACTCTATCAACATAAATCCCAGGCACATGAATGGCATCAGGTGGAATCTCACCGACGTCGACGATTTCTTCGACCTTCAAATGAGCACTATATGTGACACTGGCAAAAGTATGGCAAATACAGGACCTTCAACAAGGGGAGCACGATCGCACACAAATAAAAGTTCATTATTATCTTTTTACCCACCTAAACTTATCTTTTTATCCACCTAAACTTACCTTTTTATCCACCTAAACTTATCTTTTTATCCACCTAAACTTATCTTTTTATCCACCTAAACTTATCTTTTTACCCACCTAAACTTATCTTTTTATCCACCTAAACTTATCTTTTTATCCACCTAAACTTATCTTTTTATCCACATAAACTTATCTTTTTCTCCACGTAAACTTATCTTTTTGCCCATATAAAAATACCTTTTTTGCCCACCTAAACTTAGGAAAATCCTATCCTTACATCACCACTATTTATCGACAAAACTTATCACATCGCAAATAGTTTAAATGTGTAAATATATATAGTCCAATAGTAACTATTTTCAGGAGTGAGAATTGTGTTACCGGAAAGCACTTTTGAAATAGCTTGCGCACGAAAATGACAAAGCTAACTGCAACCCATAGGGTTAAAATATGACCAATATTTTTGCAAAGCGTATGCGAACGCTATGAGTCCAAACAGTGTATTGCATGGTGTTTTTCCTTTTTAAATGCTATTTTTTTGCTGACAAAATTGGCTGTATTTATAATCAAAAGTGAACATCAAGAACATACCATTACATACGACTATATACAACGCTCTACAAGCACAACAGCTAGAGTATCTTTAGAAGCGTAAAGGCTTGAGTCTACTTTTTTAATAAAATAATAAAAAAATTATAAAATCCATCAACTGGAACAAAAAATAACGAAAATCATGAAATCAATCGAATGGAAAGAAACATAATGAAAAAATTATAAAATCAGTCAAATTGGAACTAAAAATAACAAAAAATAATGAAAAATCACTGAAATGAAACAAAAAACAATGAAAAATCACTTAAATAGAACTAAAAATAATGGAGAAAGTCATAAAGTCAATCAACTGGAATGGAAATAATAAAAATTAATTAAATTTAACGAAAAATAATGAAAAATCACTCAATTAAATGGAACAAAAATAAAGAAAAAATCATAAAATCACTCAAATGAAACAAAAAATTATGAAAAATCAATTAAATAAAAAGAAAATAACAAAAAAAATAAAAAAATTAATCAAATCGAACGAAAAAACCTTCTAAACCTTCTTCCCAATAATTTAGCAAGAAAAATTGCCTAATGTTTCGATCCATAAACGTACATTTCACCTTCATGACAAATGTATTATAGCTAAATACAGCGGTGGATATATTCTGCCTTTGACGTAATCACATAACACAAATATACCACTAAGAAGTTAATTCACTTTACCTCAACGATTGTTATATTGGCTGCTTTGGCCATCGGTGGATTGAAATTTGAAGCTGATTTCCTAACAACAAGATGTCAGGAAAATACAACAATTTAAAATAATATTCTGTGAACAGACATTTCGTAATGATATAATCATGATCTTCATTCTCGTGAACTATACCTAAAAAGTAGGTTGCCCATTGTATCAGCTTTCCAGGCCTTAATGAGGCCGAAACCACCAGAAATAGCTTCCTCCATTATGTAAGGATGGCCGTTAAAAACTCGGGACTAAAATGAGAGATGCATGCTCTGAAATTCTGAAACGAGTAAGCGTTTCGAAGACAAAGTAATCTATTCAATATTTCAGGGTTTAGAACAAAATCTAATTTGTGGGCGTGGTTTTAAAATGAAAACAAAAGAGGAAAAGTCCAAGAAAAACCAAAGAACTTCGTATATAGTATGTACAAAGTATACTCAAAGTATAGGATTATGGTGATTATTAAAACAATGAACTAGCACTTCAGAAGCTTGCATTAATTTTTCAGGTGAAAAACCAAAAATCATTAAGATTATAACATCATTAGGGTCAAATATATTTTTAAGAAATGCTGGTGCATAAAACTACGTATATATGAAAACCCGCTACGTGTCCTGTTTCACATTCTCGGGTAAACACACAAGCACAACAATTCTCCTAAGCTTTACTATTGAAAATTCTTCGAAATATAAATTTTCAATGTGAGACTACAAGGAAAACGGTATAGAATATATGGGGAAATTTCAAACACAGAATAAAAGTTAACACACTACCTCTTTGGGAGAACTTGAAATTGCAATTTCTCCATTTCTTTCGAACTTAATCGGTGCTCCGCCTTTATGTATTTCAGTACCAAAAGCAGTCGGCGTAAAAAATGCCGGAATACCTGCTCCTCCAGCGCGAAGTTTTTCGGCAAGCGTTCCCTATAAGTAAGTAAAATACAAAAGGTATTTTCTCATTTTTTATGAGACACGATGAAACGATAATTATTCAAGAAATAAAAGACGTTTACTGTGTTTGCACAGGCTTATGCAAACAAAGAAGACCTTGGGAAAAACTGGAGAGCAGTACAAGCCCAAGACCGAACGTAAAGGATTGCAACTGCACGAGAGTTTTTACAAACATCTCCGAGGTTTGCATAAGCCTGTGCAAACACGAAAAATGTCTTTTTTATTTCATAAAATAACAATAATGCAAAACAGACAAATTTTCCTGTATAATTTATTCACAATAGCATTGAAATTCTCTTTGAGTGATTTATTATTTAATTAGTTGAGCTCAGATTTGTTTTGCACAGGTTGATGCCAATAAACCAATCAGCGCAAATGTTTTATAGTGTTTATTTAATAAAACACTCTATAAAACAGTCACTATTGTAAAGGCCCGTTCACACGAACCGATCTGTCGGATCCGATTGTTGCGGTTTCGACTTTTGGTTGCATGTTCAGGCGGTACGATCATTTTGCTGGATTTATATTCGTTTGGATATTTATAGTTTTGTGCACAGCTATTTGTGTTATACAGTACATTTATCGATGTATTTTTCGTATTTTTGTTCTTGTTTCCAAGTTTTTTTCAAATCTATATAATTTGACTGGTCGGCTTCCTTATATTTTGTCGTATGAAAATAGGGCAAATTCTATTTGATTCCATCTGATTTTTTAAATTGACGGATCCGACAGTCGGATGCTCACTTTAAATAAGTACATGTGTTAACATGATTCTTTTTTTTGGATTCGACAAAATCGGATCCGACAAATAAGATCGTGTGAGCGGGCATTGTTTGTTTATGGCTCTTCTAAATTGCAACTCGCTTTATTCAAGGCACATCCACAGATCTCTAGCTACAGCTTTTTCTACTTTTTTCTATCCTTGTGTCTATAGTTCTGTGCTTAAAAACACAAAAAATCGTACAAGCAAGTACGAAAGCAGACGAGTAGGCTTGCTCGTAATTTCGATTTTGATAAAAACATGCAATTCTAATTCAACATTTGGAGTAGTCATTTTGCTAGACATTAAAGAGACCGTGTCCACATGATGCGTGCTGCTATAAGCAATATAAATCATAAAGATTTTTATAATCGGAAAAATAACAGCGACTAGGCTAACTATGGAATGGATAGATAGTGGTTTGAAAATTATGGATGATAAAACAACAATCTGTCTTCAAAACAATCGATGTAATACTTCACAAATATTTCAATGCAATCGACGTTTCGTGAAACCAGTCGAAGATTATCACGTGAAGTATAATGATTATACTTAGTTAAGACATTTAAAATAATAAATTTAATTGCAAAAAAAAATTCAGTACCTGAGGTATCAACTCCACTTCTAACTCTCCACTCAAGTATTGTCTCTCGAACTCATGGTTTTCACCAACATACGAAGAAATCATTCGTTTTATCTATACAGGCAATAGACAACTGACACTTAAAGAAACAGGAAACGTTACATCCATCGTATAAATGAACACGCTGCTGTTATTTTCGAACATATTAAGAGCAGAGAGACCAAGAATATGATTTTTTAATTGAAATAAAGCAATCTGACTATTACAATGTATGGCCGTTTGGAAAAAAAACATCTGTAAGAAATAAGTGAAATGACGAGCGTTCTTATGATTATAACATTGATTACAACGCTACCTGTTTTGATTGAAGAAGAAGGCCAAGACCAAAGTCATCAACCCTAAATAACGACAAATTGATGTCACATTAACATAGAATGCGCTACTTCAGCTCAAGTATGCATACACCTTAAAATCAAATGGTAACAATGAGTTTTTTATGTAGTCTTAACAAACGTAATGTCACTATCGTGCAAGTAGGAAATAGGAATGGGATGTATATAGCCCATTCAAAATTCTACCGACAGAACTTGAACTTTGGGGCAATCAGACATGAGCCGCAACTAAGTCACTATCAAATATGAACTCACAGTATTATCATAAGGTGGAAAAATAGCAGGAGAAGTTGCGGTTCCGAGCTCCCTTGTTACGGTATATTTACAAGTTGCATTGTACGACGACATATATGCTGTTTATAACTTTATATTTGCTTTGCTTTTTGTTAGCTTGCAATGTTGGTTCAACTTGATTTTCATGAAAAATACTAAAACATTTGAAATATAGGATGATGAAAAATTAGAAGTTTGGTTCATCTGCACCATTAACTCTGGCGCCAAGGACAAAATCTTGTGACGTGCCTTGTGACGTCAGGATTTTGAACAATTGCGATTGCAGGGAGCATGTGCAATGTGCCTTAAAAGTCAACATAAGAGTGAAACTGTGTGATTGTTTTTATTCTAGTTCTTTCTATTGTATCAGGGGCCCCTTTATAAGTTGGGGATGTCCTTCTTACCCCAGCATAAATTTCATGATGTCTAAGTTACGTGCCACAAATACAAAAGAAGCCTAAAATGAAAAAGTCGTCTTTGACCAGTTATAAGTATCGTATCCGTTTTCAGTGGTGGATTTAGAATACATCAAAATAAATTACAGCAGCACATTTTGGCGCATATTTAGTCCATTTCTAAACACCTTAAACGCAAATCCATTGGTAAAGATATATTCTTCAGAAATTGAAAACCAATACTGTTTTTCTGAATGTAATTTGACTTTAAAATTGTGGAACTACAATTTATTTTGACATACACTGGATCCGCCACTGTTTGTTTTGGGCATTTTCTTTCTATGTGTGAGCCAGACTTAATTCACTGTTTAACATGACCAATACAGTCATTACTGTTTTAATACAGTTGTTTCTTTTGCCATAATAACAAAAAAATTGATGAAACCTGGTATTATATAGAATGATATGGTTATACCTTGTGTATAACTTTCAAATTTATAGATACTATTTCAAACTAATTTATATTGAACACTGTTAAAATAATTGATACACAGGGGGGGGGGATATATAGACCATGATGCCAACTGTCATATCTCATATCATTTTCCACCTGGCAAATTTTTCTTGAATAAATGTAGTACCTACTGTATTATATATATTCATTTAGTAATTTTAAATCATTTATTGTATTTTTTGTTCATGGTGAATTGGAATTTCAGATTGTCATGAATATTCAAAATTTTTCCATGGATAAGAGACCATCTTCCACAAAATATCAAATTGCAATTGTCAAAGTATAAAATTCAGTTCACCATACCCTGCAGTATTGCTGACAACAATAAGTCCCTTGACTTTTGTTTTAAGTAAACCTGCAATAAGATTCTCTGGAATACCGCAAAGACCAAATCCTGAAAATGTAAACAAAAGAAAACTTGCAACGAGAAAGAGGATAAAAAAGATAAGGCAAATATACACATATAAACTAAAAGTAGGTACCAGAAGAGTGGACAAGGCATCACTAACCTCCGACCAGTAGTTTGGAGTTATTCGGAATATCTTTAACAGCATCATAAGCACTGGGATAAAACTTGGCTTTCATTGAATGGGATGAGGAAATCTCTCTCCATAGTTGGTGCTGATGTTAAAACAGACATGTCAATTTTAATTGTATAACATATCCTAGTTAAGAATTTGGACAACGTAGATACGTATTATGATTTGACAGCATTGCTATCAAGTGCTTTGCCCAAATCCCAACTTTTTGATTGAGCCGATAGTTGATTATGTCAGCATTTCAAATGCAGCAAAACATTCTGCACAATTAAGCTAAATAACAAAACAAATTACGGAACAATTATGTCGAAGAAAATTGCCAAACCAAAAACTGATGTGTATTAAGCGTTAACATCTGTGGGCATCGAACTAACACATTATACCAGCTATGCTTACTTCGATGTAATTGACAATTTGAATTGTGAGTTAGGATTCTCCATGGGTGGTGTTAACTGTTTGAACACCTCGATATCAAGGAGTATCAATTGAATTGACAGAGTTCACAACCACAACACATTACACACCCAATACTTTAAAATACAATACAAAAAAAACGTACATTTAATTGTCTGGACCTTCGATCAAACAGCAATAATACGTTTTTCAAAGTTGCTCCCAATCGAATAGAATTTGTCGACATCTTTTACTTTATATTTTCATCTTGCGTAAGTTTAGGTATAACACCACACACCTGTTATTGGATGACATAATCTGTAATGACGAGTGTTTCTCGGGGAGGGGGTGATGATATAGGTTCCGTAATGATAGCGGGTGACCACGATCACTGGGGAATCTTTCAAAATTTCGCGACAAGAGGATTTTATTCAGTCGAACATTAAGACTTATTTTTCTACCCTAGTAACCAACCATAGCTCAATTCACCCGGCATAAACCAACAATTGTTCAACCAAGGTTCAAATGAACTGAGGTTGATTTTTTGCGTGTGAAGACTACTAATCGAGGTCAACCGGGGGTTAATGATGTGTTATGCCCATGTTAAATCTGTGTTAGTAGTGTTTACAGGCAAAATATTTTAACCTGGTTTAATTTGAACCTGGGTTGAACCCAGGTTAGTTAATGTCATGTGAATAGGGCTCGTGTCACTACCAAACAATCTTAGGTCGCCCATACAATGTCATGAAGTAAAAACAGGCAACTCACTCTTACAAAGCAATGTTTTTTTCCTGCTAATCATTTGTCGTAGTCTACTGTGTTGTTTTAGAGGAAATGCAGAAGAATAGAAAGTAAAATCGTAAATTTTTTTCACTTTGTCATTTGGGGTGGTTGGTTTACTCTGACATTTTTTTTTGACTCTTACATATATTGTCAAAAAACACAGCCCACATTAGCCTTTTCCTACCCCGACAATACCATTCCTCATGCAATTTTCCACACTTGTTTTAAAGTAAGGACCCATATGGTTTTGTGTTTCGCTTGTGATAATGCTAAATTTTTTCACTGCCTGAGTAGACAGGCCAACGTCAGGTTTAATCAAGTTCAAAAATGACAATACCGATGTTCTATATTGGAATACCTGCTATTTACAGTCGTAATAAGCTAAGTTGTTTTCTAGAGGGGCTACAGCTTAGTAATGTTGTAAAGATGTATCCGTAACAATTACTTTCTATGTACGTGAAAAGCCGTTTTTGAATTTCAATGAACTTTGGTATTATGCCGAGAAGTTACCGTAACTTTACTTTGCAAAGAAATAGCTATGGCCATTAACCATAGCAAGTATAAATATCAGTAAAAAAATGTTTTGTCACATTCCTTTCATAGAAAGGGAAAACAGGCGTATATATTATGTAGGTTTTCGCTACGCCTGTCATGTAGCTCAGCAGCAATTTTTCGGTCGTTCTATTTGTGCCATTCAGCCTGTTTCATCTCATCGAGATCTGGCGCAATCTATAAAATAATATTGATTTTTCAATGACCTTACTAAGCCCTACTCGCAAACCTTTATAAACGGTCGTTAGAGCGATGGCAATATTATTCCAGAGTCCAAACGTATGAGTATTAACGGCAAAATAATCATCAACTTAGATAAGATGACATGTAATTATATAAAAAAGCAGAGGTTTCAGGGTTTCCTTAGCACCATTTTTTATATTTGCTGCAGCGTTGCCATTTGCGGGCTACTTTCTAAGTTCAATGCGCAACATGCTCTCACAATAGCCGATGTAAACAAAATACATTTTTGACTTAACATGCGTATCACTATTACTAACACCATTAACTGTATAAATGGAATGCCAACATTAATTACTAAATGAATGCCAACACTAACGACAATATGAATGTCAATACCAATGATTATATCAATGTCAATACCATGAATGTCAATGTAGCAATGACTACATGAACATCAATAACCATGTATGAATGTCAATGCCATGAATAACAACAGCAAAGTACATCTATCATATAGTACTCTAATGCATACAATATTCGTTTCCTTACTGAAAATTGACATCCCGTCTCCACTTGAATTTCTTGAATACTCGTACCAGGCCAGATTTCCGTTAAAGTTAACCCGTTTTGGCCATCAATTTTAAAGACACACTGTAAATAAGAATGGAAAAAATTCCATATTTCTATTTAGGCATTTCTATCCAAATAACAGAGGTAGTTTCATATCTATTGCGTCGATGAAACCGTTCATGTGAAGAGAGAACTTTGTGAATCTCCGATCTTTCAAGCAGGACCATAAAAGACACTTTTTAAACAGATCTAGTTTTTCGTACGAACCTCGCTCCCATACAGTAGGTTCGTAATAATGCACAAAAATTTTACAAGGAAAATTCATGTATTTTCCTTTCTAATCATATTTTTCGCGATATAGAAATTGGCGACTGTCTCTGACCCATATCATGTGACCAATATGAATTTACAACTGACCTTTTCCGTGATTATTGCGTCAACACAACGCTCACCGGTTAGTGGTAAGGTACATTCTTCTAGAATTTTATGCTTCCCTTCCTATTTTCATAACAAAATCCAAAATCGTAATTGCCATGCAAATCATACAGACAATGAAAATGCAAAACACAATATCTTTATTCGTCATCATTAATAGGCAGGGAACTACCAAAAAGAAAACCAAAAAATACCTTAGCGGTATGCTCCATTGTGACAACAACTTTTGTTCCAGGACATGAAACCAAATCCATACCTCCTCCCATACCTTTAACCATTTTCCCCTATAAAACGAACAGATGTGTGTATGAAAACCTTATTGAAAATTTTATAACGAGTAATGACAGCATGAACTTACAGGAATCATCCAATTTGCCAGATCACCATACTGCGAAACTTGCATACCACCAAGAACCGTCACATCGACATGGCCACTACATACAGATAAATACGTGTTCACAGGCATCTACTGCATATTTAATTTAGCCAACTACTTTTCAAGTACTTGATTAGTTTGTAGTTGGACGTTTAAATTGTGGAACTCGTTAATTGAACTCAAAGAATCCTGCTCTCTAATGTCTTTTCAAAACAAAATCGCTGCTTTCCCAAATAATTTCGTGATAGTTAAATGAAAATACTTAGCTAACTTTGTACTCTATGGAATGCAATTTAATGTTTTATGGAATGTAATTTTTAATTTAGTATTCTTGTTAAATTCGTTTCCGTAACTTCGTGCACGCCCCATGTGGAAAACAACTCACTTGTTGACAATGGTTAGCGTGTTGAAATAAAATTATTCTTTCATTCTTTCCAAAGTCCACCCTCGCTCAAAACAGATACGTTTGAAACATCTTACATTGGATGTATGGTCGCATAAGACTTTTGAACTTCTGACTCCATTTAACTTCCATACCATTCCATAACCGATTAAGTTATTAAATCAAATTTTTCATACAAGCAGCCAACACTCATGATACACACAACATACGCACAACTATGTGACGTCAGCTTACCCACGAATCATAGCAAATGATTCATCACTTCCAAAAAATGCTGCTCCTGGAAGAACGGTGACGGTTTCTTTACCTGAATTAAGAAATCGGAAAAATAGTAATGAAGTTTCGCAAACCTGCTGACACATGGACAAAACATGCGCACGAGTATTGCGCTAGACGTGTTTAAATGTAAGTACGTAATTTAGAAAATATATACTATTTATTATACATAAAAGCAAAGGAAGACGAGGGGAAAAAATTCAAAAGTATCAAAACAGACCACAAAATACAATAAAAAGTCGGTAGAGAATTATCAACACACGAAAATATATACATGTTTCTTAGCATGGAGTTATTGTTCATGCAATTGGATAAAACAAAATGAAGCAAAACTCCATCAACATAGCATAGGAAACTAACATCATCAAAAACTACAACAGACAATAACAATGAAAAAACCTAATTAACATTGACCTTCAATGGGTCAACTTGAAAACGTTTTAGAACGAGTTAGGACCGCTTATCATGCAATATAATAGTTTAAAAAGCATGACAAAAATTAAAATAATTGCATGAAAACACAAATCAATGTGAGCTACAATTCTAAACTACACAACTCCTTCAAGACTGCTTTTTAACTACATGAGCTTCATAATATTATTGTGGTGGAATCTACTTCCAACAAAATGCATTAAATTGAAGTCGGGAAGCCGGATAGAAAAATACTCAAACAATTCAACAAAATATGAAAGATTACATTAAAAATTAATTATAATTCTTACCCGCATTAATCAAATCTGGGTCGACTTCATCCTCTGAAGGAAATGGTCCCTAAAAAATTGATTTGTATTCATCACAGTTATCGACTACTTCTAAACGCTCGCATTTCATCCAACTTTCACAAACAACCTCACGTCCTTTAGACAATTTAATTATCTCTCGGAACCATAAGGTGAAAGTTTTGCTCAAGTAAACTAAAAGCGGGTTTTTTTGAGAAAAATCTGATTATCTTTGGATTCAAGATGCATTGACGAAGATCAGTCGGGAATCGTTATCGTAGACAAAACAATAAAACGCCAAGTAAACCACCATAATTTAACTTTAGACAATTTCAAAGCAAATCGCTTGAGTCTAAGACTAAATGTTATCCACAAGATTGCAACTAATGAATAATCTGTTTCGGTGTTTCCATACGTCATAACCGTTCACGAAATTTTCGTTGGGCATTTAATACTACATTCGTGAATGCTGTCTTTAACACGACAAAACTCAGAGAACTCAGAGTACAATTATGATTGCAATTTACGAAGCAGGGCTCAATCCAAACATAACAATGTTAAGGAAATATTAAATACACTTTCTTAATACAGCGGTAAAAACAATTGTTGTTTTGCTCACCAATCCCAAAATTCCATTTTCGCTCTGAAGATGAACTGTAATGTTGGGATCAATGAAGTTGCTTGCTAACATTGGCATTCCAATACCAAGATTTACTGATTTTTTGTTAAAGATTAACACGGAAATAACATGATAAATCGTATATAACGTCATTATTGACACAGGCAATAACCAAGCCAAAACTAGGGCGTGTCTCTGGCTTATACACTTAATAGTAAAACACAGAAGGTCCTCTCCAGCGATTTTTGTGCTCATTTTGATAAAGCAGGATCTCCACAAGTATTAGTCGCTGGCTATAAGTACAGAATGACTATAGTTACAATGATATCGACATGAGGGTATTTAAGAAATTTTAAAGAAATTTGATGTGCCTTGTATCTTTAAAAAGGGATATTTAGCATAGGGAGACGTGTATTACAGGGAGGTATTTATTATTATAACAACAATTGATGCGGCATGTGTAAGAGGGCCGTGGTAATTTCCAGTGAAAATTGTGCTAGACATATTTCACTGGAAATATGACGAGCTGCGTATTTTTGAGAAGCTATAGTCAAAAATAACTCGCTCCCATTGAAAGTATGGACGCTCAATTTAGCAATTGAAAGTATGGACGCTGAATAGAGCCATTGAAAGTATGGACGCTCAATAGAGCCATTGAAAGTATGGACGCTAAATAGAGCCATTGAAAGTATGGACGCTCAATAGAGCCATTGAAAGTATGGACGCTCAATAGAGCCATTGAAAGTATGGACGCTCAATAGAGCCATTGAAAGTATGGACGCTCAATTTAGAAATTGAAAGTATGGACGCTCAATAGAGCCATTGAAAGTATGGACGCTCAATCTAGCCATTGAAAGTATGTACGCTCATTCTAGCCATTGAAAGTATGGACGCTCAATCTAACCATTGAAAGTATGGATGCTCAATGTTTGTGCGAAGTTTCTATATAGGATGAAAGATCAACTTAAATACGGGGTCTATTAACAGCGAGTGATACAACTCTGTTGAAAAACCTTTGTGTCCTCTCAGATACAGTAGACTAATAAAGTGTTACTTCAACACATACTAACTTTACATGAATACAAATAAATCAGCAAAGGATACTATACATGCCTTCTTTGAATTCTAAAGCAGCACGGCGAATTATCCTTTCTCGTAGAAGATCGTGGTCAGATTGAACCTTTCCACTGCTGCTGCCATCTTTATAAAGGCGAAGTCGCTTTAAAAGAAAAAAGAGACAAAGTCTCAATTTTGATGTGAAATGAATATTTTAATATGTTTTACAAATTTCTAATTGTTGATACGTATTTTGACGACTTCAAACTTCATTCAATGAACGATTTTTGCTAATGCAGTTAAATGTTACTTTCTTATCGGTGAATTTCAGTTTTGTTACAAATACCTCTATCCTTTTCTCGTATTTTTCACCTTTCACAACTCTATCGACATAAATCCCAGGCACATGAATGGCATCAGGTGGAATCTCACCGACGTCGACGATTTCTTCGACCTTCAAATGAGCACTAGAATGAGACACTGGCAAAAGTATGGCAAATACAGGACCCAAGGGGGGGGGGTCACAATCGCAGATAAACTGAAACATCTTTCTCTTCTACACTTATTCTCAAAAACTTTTCTAAATTTTATTTCCAATTAAGCTTTAGGAAAGTTTCGTTCTTTGCATTTTACCTTCACGACAAATATATCATATATAGAGAGGTCCATATATACGTATAATTTGGTGGGTGGGGGTAGAGTTGAGTGCTGTTTACCTCAACGATGGTTATCTTGGCTGCTTTGGCCATAGGTGGATTGAAATTTGAAGCTGATTTCCTAAACAAGATGTCAGGAAAATATAAAGCGCCAAAATGACATTCTGTTGACGCATGCGCCAAACGGCAAAACTTAACAATACATTCAGGATTTATTCCCTAGTAAAGTATACCTAAAAAGTAAGTTTCCCATTTTATCCGACTTCCATGCCTTAATAAGGCCAAAATCACCACAAATAGCTTCCTCCATTACGTAAGGATGGCCATTGAAAACTCGGGACTAAAAAAAGAAATGTGCTCTGAAACGACGTGCATGCATAAAAAGCCATTCTGAAGCTTGCATTTATACTTCAGGTGGAAACAAAATATAAAAACATCATCACTAAGGCAATATATACCTATTTATGAGAAACGCACCAGCATGAAAAATAACGTACGTATAAAAACAGCTCCAAGTCGCGAGCGACATCGTAATCAGTGCATGTTATACAACAACATTAAAGAACCAAAATTACCACAGCTTTAGCTTCGTATTATCAAAAAGAATTCTTCAAAAATTTAATTTTCAAAAAAGTTCCCTAACGCCTATACGTCGTTTGATTCGAGAATTTTCATAGAGCTGTTGAATACTACGAAACTCGTGGGGCTATGATGTTCGAGAGAATAACAAATAATGTGGGAAATTTCAAATCAGAATAAAAGTTAACACACTACCTCTTTGGGAGAACTTGAAATTGCAATTTCTCCATTTTTTTCGTACTTAATCGGTGCTCCGCCTTTATGTATTCCGGTACCAAAAGCAGTCGGCGTGAAAAATGCCGGAATACCTGCTCCTCCGGCACGAAGTCTTTCGGCGAGAGTTCCCTATGAAATATAAAATCAAAACAAAGATATTGAGAATACCATGTAAAGTATTGTTCTGTTCTTTTCCTTTTGTAATTTGACTATTTTTTCATGAGAGCCAAAACCAAACGATATAAATATAAGAGAGGTTTCTTTTACTTATTTCACAGGCACAACAGTAAGTTCATACTATAATATACTTATTGTGCTCTATTCTCGATTTCGCTGTTCGCTCAGCAAGTCTTTATAGCTACAGTCCTTTACTACCTTTTTCCATCCTTTTCCAGTTCGATGCTTAAAAACACTGTATGCAGGCAAACAATCAAGTACAAAAGCAGGCAAAAGAAATGCAACCAACTTTCGGTGTACGTAGATAAGATTCCAAGCCTGCTAAAAGCAAACAGTCTGTTTCCATCTAAGATGGACTGTTGCATACAGCTGACCAGTATAAATCGCAAATATTTCCGCAAAAAGTCGGACTCGATTGGCATGGAATGGATGGAGGGTGCTTTGAAGATGATGGATAATATGTCTTTGCGTCACAACAGTTCATGGAAGACTTCACGAAAGTTCAATGCAGTCGGCGTTTCGTAAAACCAATCAAAGATCATAACACGATCTCGCGTCAGTCACTTAAATTATGACTTCGATCGCCAAATTTCAGTACCTGAGGTGTCAATTCCACTTCTAGTTCTCCATTCAAGTATTGTCTCTCGAACTCCTTGTTTTCACCAACATACGAAGAAATCATTCGTTTTATCTATACAGGCAATAGAAAATTAAGAGTCAAGAGACATTAGATACACCGTAGAAACCACTTTTAAAAAATAATAAATAATCCATAACAAATAACTATAATTCCACACGTTCAATTGATGATAAATTTTGATTAATTTGCGAACGAAATCCTTTCATTCTCTGAAAACGCTACCTGTTTCGATTGGAGAAGAAGGCCAAGACCAAAGTCATCAACCCTAAATAACGACATGTTGATGTCACATTAATATATTTCGCGCAACGTGAGCTAAAGTATGCATACACCTTAAAATCAGACTGCTACAAAGAGTTTTATACGCAGTCTTCACAATTATGCCTTTAATACCAAAAACCATAAAAAAGAATAACAACACCGTGACGCCAATCATACATATGTACGAAATTAAACAAAGTTGATTTTTAAGCCACTATCAATCAAATAGCCCTCAATAATAATCTACGGCTGATATTTCAAAAAGAAATAAGGTAAAATGTTTTGAATCAAGGAATATGAATAATGTTGCAATTGTATGTATGCAATTGTAGAATTTTACAACAGTATGGTTTGAAATTGTATAGTACCAATTGATTTTTTTTTGAAAAGATGTTTATCATAATTTGCTATTTTGGTGCATGTTTAACTTAAAAGCACAGTCATTTGTTGTAGATAAATTTTATTGCTGCTAGCTTCCCCCTGATGTTAATTTTCCAAAAGGCTAAATCATATTGTTAAAATGTAGACATATATTTATTTTGCAGAATTTTGAAGCCGGATTTGTTGCAGTTTTTGTTCATGGTTCGAGTGTATAATGGGTTGGAATTACACAGAAGATTTTCACAAATTATTGAATTTTGTCAACCCCAAGACCATTTTGCACGAGATGTCATATTGTCACAGTCAAAATAAAGAATTTAGTTCACCATACCCTGCATTGTTGCTCACAACAGTAAGTCCTTTGACTTCTGTTTTAAGTAAACCTTCAATAAGATTCTCAGGAATACCACAAAGACCAAATCCTATAATTGCAACAGAGATATACTATGAAAAAAAGTGGAGAAAAAAACAGGCAAATATATACATAAAAAAAAGTTAATAAGCTTTTATCATTATCGAAAATGTTGTGCCATAATGCAATCAGAAATGTCACCACCACAATTGTAGTTGAAATCATTGTTTGTACTTGTACTTGTGCTTTCTGAACTGGGTTGATTGCAAATATTGTTCTTCTGATAAGATAATTTTGTATATATCAAGCTTTATCATCAAATCATTCAAATATATGTATATCTTCAAAACTTATTGAGAAAGAATTGCATTCCATTTGAAAAGCAATCAGATACCTACAAATTGCATAAAAGGTTTTGACCTGGCACTAACCTCCAACCAATAGTTTGGAGTTATCCGGAATATCTCTAACAGCATCATAAGCACTGGGATAAAACTTGGCTTTCATCGAATGGGATGAGGAAATCTTTCTCCATAGTTGGTGCTGATGTTAAAACAGAAAACAAAAAATATATATTAAGTACTTAATTGCCCAAATCCTCACTTCTTATTGAAGACATAGTTAATAATTTCATCGTGAAATGCAACAAAATATTCTGCACAGAAAAGTTGAAACAACCAAACAAGTGAACAACGAACGAAACAAAAGACGTTTCCAAACCATAAAACAGCCATATGAAGCTTTATATTCAGTAAGCATAAAACACACGCTATCGTCCATCTGTTACATACTTTGTACCTCGACGTAACAAAAAATCGTGGAATATCTAAATAATCTAGTTTATATGTTACAATGCACGTGGCTGAACACCACTTCAATTATTATATTAATGAGAATAAATAAACAGAATTTCAACATCACCAAACACTCACTACTTTGAAAAAAAATGAGAAAACGTACATTTAATTGCCTGGATCGCCGATCAAACAGCGTAGATAATTTTTTCAAACTTGCTCCTAAACGAACAGAAATTGTCAACATCTTTCGTTTATTATGATTTTCGTCAGAAAAGACGAGGCTTGGGAACGAATTTTGCCTCCTACAAACCTACCACTTGAATAACTGAATCACTAAATCGTAAATCGTAATCGCTTCGTAAAATTCGGTTTTGACTATAATTTCGTGCTTTAAAGTCACAAATGCTTAAAATTGATTCCTTGATTTCCTTCTCTCCCCAACGCTATCCCTTTTCCTTAATCTTATTGTACTCTAAGCATTTGCCGACCTTTTGGATGGAGATTGAATTAAGGATCAATTTCGAGTATTTGTAGAACACGAACTTATTAAGAAAAACACGACAGGTGATTTTTCTTGCGGTTGTTGCACACAAGAGAACATTTCAGAAGCGTGTTAAAAGTTCATGAAAGAGAAATGCGCAGAATTTCAGGAGCCCGAGGCAGTTATATACGTGGTATACAAGTTAATACAACTCTTCTACAAAAGTTGCTTTTATAAAGTCTAGTGTAAATTTTTTGACTTTTTCGTATTTCAATGTATTGTGTAAGGAGAATGGGGTCTATAATGGAAGGGGCCAGCAACAAGTGCTCGTTGTCTTGTCCCTTGCCACTAAGCACGCTTGTAAAAAATTTCAAGTGATGATTGACATGTACACATAGAGAAACGGAGGACACATGTGGAAATCAAAGATTCCAAAGTACAATAGGAGAAACACATTGAAAACTTGTCCACATTTGTCGGTGGTGTCACCAGAACGATAATGGTTATCCCTATAGGGTAGATGACAAGTTTGGTTCGTGAAAAGTTGAAATTTGATAGTTCAAACATTTCAAAAGTTTTATGGAATGTAAAACACTGACCCGGTTGGCCCACGAGGTTCTTGTCCTTTTTGAGCTGTCAAATCTTAAGGTTCATTTTTGCACTTTTCTTACAAAATCATCTTTCACAGCATATGCAAGTATGGGAAGCAAAAACTGGTAAACTAACTGACACGACACAATGAGTTTTGGGGTTATCCAAGTTCGTACGTAATTTAAGCACCATCTGGCCTTAGTGTAAAGTTGTACAATATTTGCGAGCTCTTATGAACTCAAGTCACTACTAAGGGACTGTATGTTTTACAGTCTCAGTCCTAGATCAAAAGTCAACTTTAAATTTTACAATTTCATACTCAATGTTTTTACATTTCTCTACATATACATATAACATGTTAAATGAATTCCAAGCCACTGCATGTTCTCCATTATCTACTCTAAAACATTATCGAGATCTTTGCTTGACATTTAGCTTCCCAAAGAAGAGACTAGGGAAAGTGGTGTGATTTTTCGGTCCTCACCAGCTTGTTACATGTGACAGAAGAAGAATGTCTACTCTGTCATGAAATATTTGCAAACAAACAATTGCACTATTTTGAAAACGTTCCCGCAAGATTAACTTAAAATGAACAGTTTTCAATCCATTGGACAAGCATACTTAGACAACTTTTAACAGCGCTAGCTACAAGTAATTTTTTAACAGTTAACACTGCTTGCAAATCATTGTTTTGTATGATGGTTTGTTTTGCATTAAACTATTCGGTTGAATTGATTAGTGAAAATGCAAACTTAAAAAGTTAGCTTCTGTTAACATTTCTATTAAGTATATATTAAAACGTAATGAGGCAATCTACTTATATTTTGAACAAAGCAGTTAAACTTTAAACTTGACGAGAGTTCTTCCTTTGAAAAGGACAGTCATAGTATCATTTATAAATGAAAATATACCCCAGCCACTGACTTTCATACCTAGAGACTCCCTTCCTTTTTTGAGAGGCCCCCTTTAACGCACAATTCTGCCTACGCCATTGGATTACGATGTATAAAAAATACTTGATTTTAGTTATTTTTAACTTCATCTTGTCGAAATGAAGATCTTGTTGATTAACTTAACTGAAATATTAATACGTAATACTGCAAAAACTTGGCATTCAACACATCGTTAACGTTCAATAGATAGCAATAATGAAACGTTCATACGATTTGCATAAACTTAATATATATATTGATGCAAGAGATATATAGGTAATAAATTATAAATATAACATTGATAACGAATGATGATCTGAAGATAAATATCAGAGTCATTAATAGTTTGTCTTTATTCCAAAAGACATCGTCACACCACGCATGAATAAACAGGATGTCTATCTTCGAAATTTGTCGTATTTTGCATTTACTCACATTGTCTTCTTGCCAGGTTGTTATAAATCATGATCTGATGACGTCACGTTTCAATTGGTATAATGACAATTATGACATTTAAATAGAAACGCTCTATTATTCAAACAGCACACAACGTAGAATAGAAGTCGTTAGGTATTGCATACAATTCAAATTTGAATAAGAAACCCTATCTAAATGTTTCAACGAGATCAGTAAATATTGGTCGATGTATTTATTGATATATGGGCTGTAGTGAAAAAATCATTCTTAGTTTTAAAAATTTTTACTCGTGCTCGCTCATTGATATAATTTATAATTGCCTGCCATCCGATTGGCCGAAGCATTCGGCAGCTTCTCACGATATCTTGAACGAGGTCCGAAAGTATATTTTCAGTGTGGAACCTGTTGATAATTGTTTTAAATTGATACAAAAGCCATATTTATCTCACAAGGAGTAAGAGAATACTCGCATCATACCTTTTATAGCGGGCCTGAATTTTACTCTGCTAGGGTATCTAAACGACCATCCATGAATTGGTTGATTGTATAAAAATACACGAGCTATACGTTGCATAAACCGTTCAGATAGCTTCTTACTGAAAAATGTTTTACTTAAAACCTTAGCAGGATCTATTGGGATTAAGAGATCTCAATTTTTTTCAATTAGCTACGTACTTTGAAATTGAAACCGCAACTAAGATTTATATAGAGATCCTGATAGTTGATTTTTTTTAAGGATATCTACATCTATACTCATATAAGGTTGTGAAACCTATCATTTTTGATATATTAGTGACAAAATTTGTGTTGGGTAATTAATGTCTATTTAACTATTCTGACTGAAAAATTCAACAGATGAATAATTATCTCAATTATTTATCGAAATTTTCATCTATATGCTGATATGTATTAATGACATGAGTCTGTAAATTTTGACATGCATCACAATAGCTAGCTACGTGATGGAAAGCCAGCGCAGCTTGCAAAGTCGCTATTGAGACGGATACAGAAGTTGGAAGGACTTATCGGCGAGGCAAAAACCCATTAGAGGCGAAACGATATGCCGAGGAATCGTTTTTAAAATTCAAGGTAAGGCTAAGATCTTCCTAGCTTCTCAACTTCAAACATGACTCGGCAAGAATAAATGCGACGAAAAAAACTTCAATTATAATCCGTAAGAATTCACAAAGATTTAATATAAGATAGAAAAAGAAATCTGCTGCATTCTACATGAAGGAAACCTGCTAACTTTTTCATCTTTCAAAACAATTGAAGCAACTGTGCATTTAATCAAACTTTAACTCATTAAAAATTATCTTACAAGAAGTACAACAATCATTTATAACTGTTTTCTATTTTGATGCATGGTGGAAACGACAAATTTTCCTTTAAATTAAACTTATAACAAACTTATCGACGATGCAGCCTGGCAAGGAAAACTAGACAATTTTTTCACTTACAAACACGAATACTGAATAAAATATCTTAATGAGAAACTCTCGTTAACAATATCTATATACACGTCATCACAAATTGAAAAATCAAGAGAAAGCAATAAAGTTTATGCCGGCAATCATATGATCAGGATAAAGCTTTTATGCATCTTGGTGTCCTGTAAAATATCATGATGATTTTATGTTGTGACAAATGTATGGCTATCTATTAACTCTCAAACACGTATGTAGCTGCTAATCGCATATCAGATTTTACTCTACTTACACATAAGTTTATATACAATGCCATGCATACAATGTCACAAACGCACTTGAACTTGAGCTGAATTTAGAGCGTTATTCAGAAGATGACTTCATACGAAAACGATATTCTTCAACATTCTAAGAACGTACATATAATCTTGTTGTCTGAGGAATGTTATACCTTTCATGATGTGAATTTTTGGAAAAAATAACTGCGAGTTTTGGACTTTTTCGAGGCGACAATCACAAGGCGCATTTTATTGTGAAATGCCTTTTATAGTCTTCATAAACACAAACGATTATAATCTATATTCAACGATGATCGATATCTGCCGGACACTGTGACACGAGCCATTAATCGGTTTAAAAAATGTCCTAGATGCAGAAATTGAAAAAAACCCCCGCAAATATGGGAAACGATCGAAACTTAATGAATAATGGGATCAATACAACATGTAGGATATTTCTACATAGGACAATTCTACTATAGTATGAAATTATACGATAAACAAGACGAGTAGAAGGGATGATTTGCAATAGAGCAATTTCAATAGATCATAAATAAATAATAGATCATAAAAAGCAATTCAATATATTGCGCACAAAATCGCATTAAAGATAAAGACACTCGACGTCTGGCTTTGCTATTGTCTGGGTAAATTTTGAGGAAAATCTGTATACTATGTTAGTTTTTTACCATGATTTACAAATCAATTCCATAACTTTCTTTGTATTGATTTTACTTAAACAAGCATTCCTCAAAAGTGCTAAATTAATTTTTATTAATCCGAGAAAGGCGTCTGGCCGCGGTCTCTGATATTAATTTAGATGCTAGTATACATATTATTACATATTAATAGCGCTTTGAGGTAGAGATGGCAGGATGCTGTAAAACTTGAATGCCAACATAATCTCTTTAAATTGACAGAGGCGAAAGTATGCATTTATTTCTGCATTTTATGAACGATTATGTAGTGAATACCAATGGCATTATAATCCCTCCCCACATTTGCAAACCATAGACACATATTTTCCAAAAAAAGTGATTACAGTAACACGTCTTCTTTTAGTGCATACTGTATTTGTATAATAATGTGAAAAATCGGATCCAGGATTTCATTGAGTAAGGGATGAATCATTTGAAATGTCACCACAATTACGTTTTCATTAACAATAAGCTACTGATTACGGGTAGGCTTGCGTACACCCTGTACTCTGCTTTCTAAGTCCGTCACCGATTCGCCCTCCCGTTATCAGCCGAGTCAGAGTGCAACTGGGAGTCAAACATATATTGAATAGAAAATTTAAATTTCAACTCATTGCTGCAATAAAATATAAGATATAGTTGCATGAATTACATAACCCACAGGTTAGGGTTCTGTTTTGAGTTTGTAAGAGTGGGTCTATTTCGCATGTAGCTCCACGAAAACAGTCCGCCATTGAGTGTTAAGTAAGGCTGCAGCCTACAGGTGAATACCTGCATCGATAAGGTACGAACGTAACTATTTCAAAAAATGTAGAGAGCTTCCTACAATGGGCACTCGTTCTTATATTGCTCAGAATATTCCATAGAAAGCAGAAATGGCACCATGTCTGGGCTGTTAACACTAATTAGTCCATCTGTATGACGTTAAAAGCTGTTAAACAGGTATCGCAAAGGAGGAAACACAGTGACAGAAAAGTCATTCGGGAAGATAAACTTCGCTTGGCAATATTTTAAAAACATATGAAAGCACGATATTAAATGTAGTGATGGTAATACCAACAGCTATGATGCTATTCGCCAGGAGCTATTTTCCGGTCATCATAACTAGGACTTCTGAGAATGAGAGTAGGCAAAAATATTTCTTTTCATCTGTCAACAAGTTGCAAACATACATTACTTTAACGGCGGCTGTATCGTTTCATACAAAGAGCTTTAATCCTTCATAAAGTGATGATATAATGACAGTTTGGTGAAAATAACGGAACACGTTTATCCATTAGCGTTGAAAATATTTGGTCAGATTTCCTATCTAAACAGGAAAAACGTGTAGCATAAGCGCTTCTTTAAACTATGTATAAAAACTAATCCTCCAGGGATAAAAAGCGACTAAAAAATTTTTCTTGTTGACATTTAATGCGATAAAATTCAAAGTATAATTGCCAAAGCATGTTGTAACAATAATTCATGTAGTAAATGGTCGCATCGGAACGAAGCATTAAATGCAACGTGTGTGCACGCATTCTCCCCGTGCGGACAAACATTTACAAACAACAAACTATGTTTAAAATGTGCAGTTAATTGAATGAATCTATTTCCAACGTATCAAATGTCGACCAAATAACTGGAATTTAAAACTAACAGTTCCATCAACACAGCCGACAAACTTCCCATTTCGGACAGTGGTTGGCGATTGCTCAACAAAAACACGCAAATATAGGTAAGAATGTGAATTTGTTTCATTATATTGTTTCCTTAGATACTGAAAGAAGTTATAAAATATTCTACTTTAATTAGTAGCTATGTAAGATATTACTCCTTAATTGAAGAATTCATCTCCATGCGTATATGTGTGTAAAAGTAAAAGATATCTGCTACTCGGTTTGTGCTTCGTTTTCGTACAGTGAAAATTTGTGTTTGCTAGATTTCATAAAACGTTGACATAGCTAAAAGCGACATTGCACCATTCCTACATCAAATACTTTGACGTTAAAAAATTTGCATCTGATAGCACTTATAGAATAGAAGATGATGAAATTAATATGTGTTCATCATACATATTGCAATGTATATAGCAAACATCTAAAGCCCCTTTAAATATATGAAAAAGTGATCGATAATTTACATCCCTATGCTCAACCACACATGCAGCATAATTCATTGTCTTCATTTGCGGAGACGAGGAGCAGCCAGTGCAAGTATTGATTTGTCAGTGACGGTCTCCTGAAAAAGGTTAAATTCCTAGCTCTAATTGTACCAGCATACGCATGTTATTCTTTAACACTTTAGCAAGTGCGCATGCACGTAAAAAGATTGAGAAACTTGTCCACCGGAATAATAAATTCTGCGAACGAAATCAGGAAGATTATAGCCACCCTTACTTAGGCGCAATCACCAATAATTTGGCAGTTAATTTTACTATTTTACTAACAGAGATAACTTCGTGCCATTGGCTTTAAAGAACTCGTTTACTCTATGATAAAAAGCACATTCGAAGTTTAACTCAACAGTACCATACTTCGAATTTCATTCTCAATGGTAATATGAACATAAATCTACATGACTTGTAAACGTTTGTTATAGTAAGTACGTTCTATTATGTAACATTGCATGAATCATTTCATGTCGTCAAGATTTCTGTAAAAGTAAGATTTCTATGCTAGGAAACTTGATTACACTCTTCGATTCACATTGATACATATGGACAATTTATAGCAAAAAAATTACAACTTTGTTTTTACCTTCACATGGAAAGACGCGGTGATGCCCGCAAAAATTAATGAAAATCATACCATATTGTGATATTGCTAATTTAAAACATTTGTTTCCTGCTCATCTGGCCTATCTCTATCCACATCGCTATCTTTGGTTGCAATATTTGTCTTTGTGTTTCATTAACAACTATAATAATTCCAATAAAGTTCTCATTACAAAGCTCTATAATTCATCATGTTTCAGTTATACTTGTAAATAAAAATTGCGGATTTAATAATTTCAATGTTTGTTCACTCGATTGATAAACTCTTTGAAACAAAACATCCTAAAAAGAGAAACCACCAACATCAAAGTCAAGCATTATTTTTGGAAGTTGGAGTTGTTTTTATCATGATTGTATAAAAAATTATCATGATCGCATAAAAATAAACATACTGTACTTGATTATTAAAGCAATAAAATACAGCCAGCAAAAACAAGCAAACATAATACTTCCTAATTTAACCCTCTAAATATATCAACTGTGAAAACAAAATTCTACAATGGCAGAAAAGCATCAATTGTGATTTTGTTATTGATTCCTAAAGTGATTGATGGTATTAAACCAATCAAGGAACAAGACGTCATAAGCATTCTATGATCAATATGAATTACGTCATCCTCCCTTGCTATCGCAGCAGTTCAATTTGATTAGATACGTTACGGTAACCATTATGCAACGTGACGTGAGAATTTTGATTGATTGACGTAGAGAACTTGAGAATGAAATGAAACGAGCAGATGATAGTTGTTATTTCAAAAGTTCTTTTGCCATAAAATATCGTTTGGAAAAATATAAATGGCGTGAATAATGAAGAGCAGATTCAACAGATCACAATTTTCTCAACATTTAAGGACATGGTGGCCTTCGAGCTAACGCAGCAATGAAATAGAAACATTAATTTTTTCACAGAATGTAAAAGGACAGACGGGTGTTGCTTTGCTGTTTTATTAGCGAACATTTCCATGTTGTAAGACAAACTTCAATAAGCATTTAAAAATACAAACACGACATGATGAGCTGTTTGCAATCGTGTGCACGAAACGAGATAACTGAATTTTTCATGAAAAATGAGCCAAGCGAATTAAAAAAATTTTCTAGAGCTACAAAAACCATAGAAGGCAAAAACCACGAGCATGCGCACAATTTGTAATCAACGAATCATTACGCAGTTTGATTCGTTGATTACGCATTACAGCGAAATCAATATTCCTAGCTCACGATATTTTAAACAACAAACGAAAATGAAAAACGGATAGCAATTGAAGAATAACATGAAATATTAATAAGGATGAAAAAGTTATCCCAAAGAGATTTTGAGCAAAAATTTATCACACTAAAATTATATAGTCTATGTGTAGCTAAAATACAGATATGAAATAATTGTAAAATGGTTCTCAAATAGTCGTCTGCGAGTCGTTTCAATAATCATCCGAAATGAGCGCAAGACGATAGTATGCAGAGCTTTATCTAAACATTAAGGAAATAATTGAAATGAAACCACTCAAACGACTCGGACGATTATATGAGATTATAACGATTTTTCACAACAAGGACGCAAAGCATACAACATCAATCATTTCGCACGCTCTTAATTTCCTGGCTGCTTGCCTACATGATCATCATTCACAAACGACGATGTAAACGAGTGAAATTATTATTAACCAAAATAGAGGTATTGTTTAGAGAACAGAACTCCCTCTTAAAAAAAGACGCATTTCAGTAATAAAAATTAAATTAAAGAAACTAAAGCTTCGAAACATTGTACACATGCACTATGTATTAAACCAATACATATGTGTGCAATGGCAATCCATATGATATAATAACATTATACAACCAGCATGAATGCCAACGTATTGTAGATTAGGGAAACTTATAATGCACATGAAAAATTCTAGCCATTGACAAATGTTCACAAATGACATTTGCTGAATATTAATTTATAACATTTATTCCACGTAAAATTTACAGCTTAAATGGGCATTAATTTGATGCAAGAAAATATGCAACAATTCACTCCGCACCTCCGTGTGTTACTGGAAATAACACAAACATCAAAGTGCTCTCAATGAGTCGAAATAATTTCAAGCTCACTGCAGTCTTACTAATACTTGCTCTGTGAACCTCATTCCCTCTATTCGCGCAACACGCTTAGATAGATTTAACAGCAGGACCGAGAAAGCAGCACGCATATATATCATTGCTGCATGGAATATTACCATACGATCTCATATCGTAACGAGAACTGATTGTTTCTTGAGATTAGAGTTGACTTTGGCGATGATCGATCCGTGCGAGTATATTAGGAACAAGGTAAGATGCTTGGCAAACTCACAATCTTTATGTAAAAAAAACATTGGAATGTCTGGCGTACAAATTAAGGACAGTCAACATGACATACACAACATTCATTGCACTTCTATGATAAATTGTTATGAATATTACTATATAAAATGACGTGTTCTCGTGCATTGTGTTTCAGCTGAGACGTAAACCAAAGTTGTATACCAAATTTTTTTTACTAATCAAATCATAAGGTATGACGATAACACATGCACAACGACGTTTATCAAGCAACAAGACATAACTCGGACGGCTAACGAAGGGAACACGAACCGAGTATTAACGGCAGATAAAGCAACAACAAAACGGTTGGTACTCGTACGTAAAAAAACTCTCTACTAACTAAACAATGAGCGTATAAGATATGAATGTTGTTTTGAATGATATTTGTGTTTTTTCGACGTTAAACAATTTAATTTTTATAATGATTCGAATAAAAGTGACGTGGAAAGACATGTCCACGATAAATAAAAAAATAAATCTCCAAAATATATTTGCAATTTTGCATTGCAAGTCAATTAAGCTTAAATTAATAAAAGTATATGGTATATTGAACAACCTCGCTATAATAGACACTATACAAGATACAGAGGAATTGGAAAAGACCTCAGAGTGGAAAATATATTTTGCTCAGTTTTTAGCATCTTTTATGGTTATTCAAAAAATTCGAAATATTAAGATTCAAAATTCCCATAAACACTATGCACTGATATTATAGGAATTTTTTTTAAAAATTTTGAACATTATCTGTGTAGAATTATACGCAGTCCAATTCTGCAACTTGTTTCATTTTGCTTATTTTATAATTGATTATCATGCATGGATTAACAGCTAGATTGAGAAGTATACATAGAATCACAGAAGCACACAATTCCTGTATGTGTGTTATACATTTCTCAATTCTGTATGTTTCAATTCAAATAATACACTAAAGCAATAACAATATCAATAGCAGATTGACTTATGGCCTCAAAATATTGCCGTCATTTGCCGACATCTTCGTGTTCAATATTAAAATATATTTCTACACGCGACATAACATTCAACATATTGCTTTATAACAAACACTGTTTTGCCTATTTACTACGCAGACAAATGCTATACTCGCCAAAGTAATTAAATGGTGACAAGAAAATGAAACAAGGCGGGAACGAAGTTGTATCATGCAGAGAAAACACAATATCTACATTTTTTCGTCATATATCACATCGTTATAATGCATATGTATGTCTGTTACAAAGCACGAAAATTGCAGTGAGAAATGTGATTTTGTGATCATGCATAAAGGTTGAGAGCTGCAATGTCGACCAATTTATCGGGAAAATGACAAATGGCCAACTTTAATGAGCTTATATATATCTAGAATTGCAAATTAGGAATTTTATCAATAGATAAACGCGCACAGCTGCAAAAAGCATCTGGATAAACATATACACGAATCATATGATATAGCTATGTATATCGTCAGCAATTTCAATTGCTTTCATGCGACAAAAACGTTAACTTCCTTTATACATGGCTTGTAACAGCAATTCATTCAAAAACATTACCAGCTGTCCAATGATAGTTCTCCACCTTTAAAAAAAAATTTAAGAATTAAAAACGCTAACTTCAATTACATCCTTTTTAATGGGTGTTTCCTTTAACAGTTTTAAGTGGTTTTGAAAAATTCAAAATTTCCATCTATTGGAATTGATAATTTTCACGAGTAGAATATATATGGTTATAAATCTGTTCACGAATACACACATGCAGCAACGTGAAGGTGTTCGGAACATCGGACTGTACAGTACTGGATGTAAATGCTGGTGCATCTTAATTTCGTATTCTTAAAGGATGAACTGCTGATATATATTCAAATAGGTAAAGCAACCGAGTCTTTTAAACCACTCCTTATAAGTGTACATTACAAACATGATAACAGTTCTGATTAGTCATCCTTGTCTTTGATAATTCACTTAATAACCGAGCAAACATAGTATTATTGTTGCTAGTTGATGCAATGACTATCACGAGCCAATCTGAGCAGCGTTTAAACAAGATAATCTACGACGTGCAGTCGCATGAAGCAAAAGTCAATTATTACCATTATGTTCGCCGTGTTTGACTATTGAAAGCGGCGCTTTTTGTCGATAACATCTGTGCTCGAAATCGATCAAAAGAATGTTTTTCAAGACTTAAATACACACATTTATTCATAAAATGGTACGTCATTAAGAATAAGATGGAGGTAAGGATAAAACACGAAAGCAGAATGCGGAACGGATTGGTGGAAGCGGATTCGGGAAATTGTGATAAAACGCGGTTTCCGCAAATGGAGGATAAAACGCGGAATTGAGCAAAAGAATGATATAAGGAGTCCTCAAAAGCCGAAGTGATGAAGTTCATGTTGACGATTCGCAATTTCGTCGCATCGTCGCAATTGCAATCCATCGTCGTAATTTCGTCGCATCGTACAATTTTGTCGTATCGTCGAAAATGCGTCGCAATTTCGTAGTATCGTTGCGATTTCCTCGCTAGTTTATTGGTATCGTTGGAATTGTCAACATTAGCTTGCTCATATAGGATTTTTTGGTTCCTTGTCATTTTTTGCCCAGTTCTGCGTTTTATCCGCATTTGCGGAATCTGCTTCTGCAATTCCGTTTATTCTGCAATTTGTAATACAAGTCCACGTTTTATTCCTAACCGAAAAAATCGCCCGCTAAACGCAGATATGTGCTTGACATTAAGGCTATAATACAAGTCATATTAAGGAATAAGTTGATCTTCCATGCTTTTTTTACACTGAAAGTGTTCTCTTTAGTCACTGACAATGGAAATTTAAGGTATCGCACAAGAATTTTTTTCAAAGGTTTTACTAGTTATAACGTTTTTCGACTGCGCAACCAAATAATTCAATAAGATGAGAAGTGACTATACATATATATAAACTATTAAAATAACGTAGGCCATATTTTGCTGGCATTTTTACCTGATTTGGCCAGCGGGAATAAAAAAAATTTAAATGAATAGTGTGCCCGTTGAAGTGCGTTGTAGTTATGAGTGAGAAAGATCAATAATTTGTTCAGACAATGTAGATAGAGACTGTCAATTTTCACAAGTTAGCTAACAGTCGACGAAAGTGCATGATCAATGCTGGGCATCGTCTCCCCATAATGCAGGCACTGTTTTTGTTACACAGACAATATGTCACTGAGGGAAAATTCACAAATAGTAACAAGTATCAATATAAGATTTATTTCATCGCAAGTTAAACAGGTCTTATTATATTCTTTATGCTTCCTTTACAAAAGTGATAAATGAAACTACGTGACGGGTAATTTGGAAACCCGGAAACTTGGTAACTCAACAGGGTTATTTGTAGCACCCGATCACAATTTAGAAGACATAAGTAGAGCCAAATACTTGACATTTTTCAGACAACACAAAGCACTTAATGTAACCAAGACATCTTTCAAGTGCACACTGAAATGATAATTTTTGTTTTTACCCCAGGATGGTCCTGGATCAAATGTTCGAATCCACTTCACCACCAGCATTCGAAAATGAGGACGACGGAAGTGGAAGCTATCACGAAAATCACTACGAAAGCACTTCCATGAACATTCAACGCGCGTTGGTAATATTTGCTTTCCTACTCGTGGGTGTTGGTGTGATCAGCAATCTCATCATCATAATTTCGGCGCGTCAATTGCCGCTGATACGCAAGAAAGGCATAACAACGGGCTCGAGATATTACATCATTAACATGTCACTGGCCGATCTTTGCGTTTTGATTGTGGCGTCGGTGACCAATCTTGCTCAATTGTTACACCCATGGAGTCTTGGAGAATTTATGTGTAAGCTACTTCTTCCATTACGGGATGTCCTTATTCTTGTTTCACTGGTAACCATAACGGCTCTCAGTTTAGAGCGGTACTTGTTGATCACACGGCCACTTCAACATCAGGGAAACAAAAGCATCGCAAAATTTGTGTTGATGTGCATTTGGCTCGCGTGTTTCCTTGTCAACGGAATCCCGCTGCTGCTAGTTACAGAGCTCACACCCGTAGAAAATGGTTCGTTGTGTCGGTTAAATTATCCATCAAAAAAACTAATGACGATTCACATTTGTTTCGGCATAGCAATAATCATGATACCATTCATCGTGGTTGTGTACTGCTATATTGCTATCGGTATCAGGTTGAAAAGTGTCTACAAGAGACGCCGTCAAACGATGGTTCCGGAAACCGACGAGGGAGGCGGCAAAAACGCGGTCACGCTTATCTTGCGCAGCAAGCGTCTTGTCAAGGTATTAACCATATTGGTAATTGCTTTCGCCGTATGTAATTTACCTGCAGTGCTCTATACGCTCGTGCACTTCTTTCATACGATCAAGCGATTTGAGCATCAGGAGATCGTGTTCACCTTCTTTCAATGCATGATGGTATACGGCAGTGCAATCAACCCACTCCTTCTGCTCTTGATGGCCTCCGAGTATCGTCTGTGTATTACGGATATGAAGAAAAACCTCGCGAAGGCCAGAGGAGCATTTCGTGTGCACTTTACGAAGAACCAGTCAGATCAGCAATACTGCGCTATTCTGAAGCACAAAAACTTACCAGTAACACCATTGTGATGGATAACACTAACTTAAACATAAGCATAGCTCAGAGGCTTTCCACATCAAGTAAAATGGAGTGGCATAATGACCTTACATCTTACATGTAACTCCTTATATGACAGGAAAACGAAACACTAAAAATTAGCTAAAGTTCGGCGATGCAGAACATGTCCACAATTTCCAATAAATCGATGTAAAACTTCAGTATTCCATAATTAGGAATTTCAACTACCGCATCTAATTGACCGATGATCTCCTTTTTGTCAAAACTGTATTATCATGCTATATGCCTTTGAAGTGCCCGTACCAGCATGAACTTTTATTGGTGTTATTAAAACTACGTGTGATTTCTAACGCCAACCAAGGTAGTTGGAATATACATTCGTGTTGACCAGTCTCTTGCCAACGTCATAAGTCGTTCCACACTTTTCCTGACGACGAACGATGCTCGTAAAAAAGAGCATTTCCCCCAACTTTGAATCGCAATAAAAGTGGAATGATTTGACCAAATCGAAAACTTTTTTCATTCATACTTGAGAAATCACACCTTAATCTAATACCGCAAATCAAAATTTTTGCTAAAAGAGGCACTTTAATGACTAACTTCCAAAACGTTATTGCGTATAAAGTTATACAATTGTAATAATTTTATTTTTATTGTAATATATTTGACTGCTCCTGTATGGTAATTTAGGGTTAATTGTTAAATAAACCCAATCCGAACTATGTAACCAAATAGCTACAAGTTTTTATCTTTTTTTAATTACTTGAATTGTTAAGTGTGAGCAATAATCTTTGAAAATCATCAACCATTGTATACAGAAGGCAAATTAGGGGAGTGTTCCTCAAAAAATGGGGTTCACATCCCCACCCACCTAATGTGCGCCTTTGATTCCATACAATAACTTTATTGGGTTGCAACGCTCGGATTGGCTAAAATATAGCTATGTATTTTTATTTAAATCATTTCAGAAACACGATAACGTGGCTCACAGTAACGGATTGTGTTGAAAAATTGTTATATTTCAACATTTAAAATGCCCAATACGAAGCAAATTTTATCATTAATGACAGAACTATAGTGAATGTCTTGTAACTTGTAAATTTCCTGTTTTCTTGCATCTTTTTTCGGGAAACGAAAGAAGTGCAAAGCAATCTTTGATTTGGTATAAGATACCATGGATATAACATATATAGAAATGACGATAGTGTAAAATTATACCAGCTTTGACCTTGCAATACTGTATACCCAATTTAAAATATTTAAAATAACCAAACTTGATTATTTGCTTCGTTTTTAACACTCAGCAATAGGTACCAAAAATTTGATGTAAATGTTCAACTCTTACGAAAAGAAAACAAACACGATCTTTGAACCATTAACTCAAGTTACTCAACGAAGTCACCTCAACAAGTTAGGAATAGAATCAACGAAGTCGAACAGCAATTTTACAACTTAATTCGTTCGAGAATGGAAAAATTTCAACTTAACCGAGATAATATACAAAGAAGTTATAGCAATGTTTTATATACATTTATAACTTACCAGATTCTATAAACGAAGTTGAGCTTTTATCTAGCGTACGGCTTAATTGCCTCATCGAATACAAACCATTTTAAACTCAAATAAATTGAGTTAGTCCTGATGAATTGCGTCTAATTGTCATCGGATTTTTGTAGACGACCCAGAGTCATTTTAAATATAGCTACAAATATATTTCCAATTAAAAATACTTATAACTAGTAATCCTGTTTATAATATTTTTGCTAGATATTCGAAGCAAAAGCGTTGCTGTATTAATATATTAAATTTACAATGAGTCGCTAATCATTCTGACTTACCCCTAGCGTATTGGTCAATATATCCCACCAAACGTTTAGTAACCTTTTTCCCAGTCTACAAGATATTTAAGTTCTTTTCCATCTTTATAGAGTTGAAAATTGTCCACAAACACTTTCAAGACCTAATAAAACAATTTACAACATATTAGCTCAACATCATCTCACAACTTTAGCTGGAATTAATACCAACGTATAACTTTAATAAATGAGATTTTAGTCAAATTTTTTTAAATGACATTTAAAAATTTATAAGAATTAAGTACTCTAGCTTACTACAGTTACTGAAACATAACTGATTTGTCCTAAATTACATTTCACCATGAGAAAGGATTATTTGCGTTGAAAAAACTAATCATAATTTATTATAGAGCTTTAAGCACGAAGTTTCTGAACATGGGTAGTCTCGTCTTCATTGTGTCCTTATTGTGAATCTTACTTGGTAGCTAACGATGAAAGGAGTTTAATAATAATATGTTGTTGTAATTTGTAAAGTGCCGAACGTAAGCCCCGTAAACACGATCCGATTGTTTCGGTTCCGACTTTTGGTTGCTTGTTCGATAATTTTGTTGATATTAATTTTGAGATATTTAAAGTCATGGGAGCAGACATTTACGTTTTTCAGTACATTTATCGATATATTTTTCGTATTTTTGTTCTGGTTTCCAAGTCTTTTTCAAATCTATGTAATTTGACCAGTCGGCTTCCTCTGATCATGTCGAATGAAATTAGTGCAAGTTCTAATTACGTCCGATTTTTTAGATTGACGGATCCGATTGTCGAAGGCTCACTTTTTATGCGTTCACACGATTCGTTTTAAGGATGCGAAAAATTCGGGCCTTTGCACAAAGTCGAATATATCGATAAGTGGTACATGAACGTGCTTTAAACACGAACAATAAACAAAACACTTTGAAGGAGGGGGTTCGTTTAAAACATAAGAAAGGGGTGAAAGTGCATGACACTTGCGTAGTAAGAGTAGCTACAGCTCCTAATCGGTTGTTTCCAGGTATTTCGTGAGCAAGTGTTATGGAGAGTAATTTCTTTAACAGAAAGTATACAATTTCGACATACTGTATTAAACAGATTATGAACGTCGAGAGTTTTACCTATATTGGCTAAGACAACAGAAATGACTAAGCTTTGCATCAATCACAACAACTGTTAAAGCTGAAACTTTTGCCCGAGATTGAAAACTGCAAGGCCTGATAATTTGATATAGCAATGTGTAACCGCTGATTGCATTAAATAATGTATAAACATGGAATTGAGCGTCAATATTGAGCTCTAGTTGATGAAGAATATGAGGTCGATTTCAGAAATAATTGAATGTCCTTGTGCGCATGTGCATATAAACATTGGTGGGGAGGAGCTAAAAAACATACATTTGTATTTACGGAGGTGTATACAATTTTTTAAGGTTTGAAGTTACAAAGTGGATGCCTCTTGCCTTCCTGAAGGAATTTGTCGGATTGCATTATAGTATAACATGCAAATCAATACATTTTCCTTGTTGTATCATTGAGGCTATGTATTTACGGAGGTGTATACAATTTTAAGGTTTGAGTTAGTACAAAGTGGATGCCTCTTTGCCTTTAAGACGAGGGAATTGTCGGATAATAGATCACTGTACAAATCAATACATTTTCCGTTGTATCGAGGCATGTGGATATTTCGCAGTCAAAAGATTCACATGCACACGGAAGCTGCACAATATGTTATGGCATCAACATTTACCATATTTGAATTGACTCGACCAGAGACGTGAGGAGTAATAAAAACTTGAGGATGACACCATAAAGCGCTTTCTTTTGGAAGGGGTTCACTTTCAAAGACATCCAAGATAGCTCCACCAATCCATTGATCATCAAGAGCCCTCAAAATACTCTTTTCGTCCAGCAGGTCCCCACGACCTACGTTTATGAAAACTGTTTTCTTAGCCCTGCAATTTTCGAGGACCTCCCCAGTAAGCAGTCCTTTCGTACTCTCAGCACTTGGTAGAATACTGACTAAATAGTCGCATTCTTTTAAACATTCTGCTAAGTCTTCTATACCAAAACTCTTGTCTACGTAAGAAAAGGTAGAAGTTGGTACAACCCGATGGATAACAAAGACTTTCATCTTCATGTTATGGCAGTATTCTGCAATAACTTTCCTATGGATCCAAAACCAAGAATACCAATAGTCAAATCTGAAAGTACGCGGTACTTCATTTCTTCCCACGGACACCTAACAAAAGAATGAAGTACGTCAGACTTTTCGATCTGCAGCATTTTATGAGCCCGATGTAGCTGACACAATAGCAGGTCAATTTTCCTCAGTCTGTTTTCCTAGAATTTCACATTAATCGGATTCAAAACATAGAAATCGATACTAGCTAATTATTTAAAGGCATAAATTTTTAAAAAGTATTATCCAGTAATAAACTCCTGTAATTTATTCAACAAAACGCTAAATCCGCCGGAGTCTTCCTCCACAGAAATACACATTTTAACAAATTTTAATCCAGTTAACTCCAAAACATGACCCAATATTATGAGGAGTGATGTAAACCATCATTACCGTGCCATATATAGACATAATCAGAAAAATATTTCTGCAAGACAAATTTTCAACATATATACTATTTTATAATGTACCATCATAGCTAGCAATAAGCCTCTGTTAATTAAGTCATACATAATTGAGGAATTCATCGTGAGTCGACGAACAACGATAGCGCTTTAAAAAATAGTTTGGAAATTACGCGATGCAAGATATAAAACGAAAATAGATGTTTGACGTTTTATCTCATGACTATTCACAACATGTATAAAGTGTAACTTCTTTCGATCGAGGACTAATGAGGCGGCTCTTCTGAAATTCATTAACCTTCCATGTCTGTGGAGTAAGAGAGGAATGCTGCGGTCACCGTCACCCATTCTTCGTTAGAGCGTTACTGATCTTAAAGCATTTGTCAAAAGTGTTCACTAATTTCGCCCTGGGTTTGATGGGATATGTGAGTGTAAATTTGGTTAAATTTGAAATTACAGGCATTTCCCTTAAAATTATGCTTCAATTGGACTTTCTTTTGATTTTAATTTTAATGTGCGTCATTTCCTGATTAAACATAATATTTTACAAAAATACTTTTGTTAGAAAATAATGAGCTAACATCCCATACAAAATGATAAAAATCTGCAAATCATTTGCACATCTTACCAGGATTTACTTTTTTGGTACTCCGAGCATAGAAGGAACTTTCGCTCGCGCGCAATCACATGACCCATAACGTACTCGGCGATGCTCGCACCTAACGTTCCACTCAATTTGGTCAAACTATACCGTGGTACATTACATGGCTCAATACAGTGGATTATATTATCTACGCCAGCATATGTAGCCTGCATCCATTTTAACCTAGGTAACTGATAAATCCATTCACGGACAAGTGGAGGATCTGCAATTAAGATTTCCAAGTCTTTTAAGCAATCTGATGTTATTTCTGCAAGATGAAAAGTTCATAACACTTGAGAATTTTTTCACTAAGCCCAACTACAATACCGTACTTAATGTAAAATACATTTTGTTATTGAGAATGCTGCATAACGCTGTTATGCAAAGTTACAAAACTTGTGATAATGCATGCAGTGATTATGCTACGTATGTACCCGTCTCACAGATTAGAGGTATTACAAGAACAAAGTAGAAATTGACTAAAGAAGGATAACTATATCAATGCTGTCAGATTTAGTGAAGACCTTAAACAAGCAGACGTTATGCTAAGATCAAATTCTAATTATGGAGAAATCTGTCTTGGTTAATATGTCAAGTAAAGATCATAAATTTCTTCATTCAAATTTAAACGTGCTAGTGACATAGTAGTGGAATTAGTTGCTTGGGATGAGCACTGCCAATCGTTCTGAGTATTAATTAAATTCTTTTTGTGTGATATATTGACATCACTATATCTGCACTTTGTGTGCTGTAATGAAGTACAATTAAATGACAAAGGTTTCATGGCTATGTTTGTACAAACTGAAAGCTACAGAGCCTCCTAAAGTTTTAAAAAAGGGTCTAGTCCACTCTTCAGTCCCCCTCTCTACCCCCAATTGAAATCAGTTTCCACACATATGCTAGCAAAATAACATACATCAGCATTATTGAAGGGCTGGATAAATAGGTACTGTGATAGGAGCTTCCTTTACTGTGTTTTAATAAGAAATGTTGAAAGTGTTAGACTAATTATGCCGTTTATACTACAAATATTCATGTAATGAAACATGTAATTTTACAATTTTCTCAGGGGTTGATCATCAAAGAGTATTAATTCTAAGTTATTGTACGTTTGGATACATAAAATTTAACTAGAATCTAGTTCCTAGTTCTTAGCCTTTTGTTAAAATAACTCTCCTCATCTAAAATAACAAGATGAACATCGAAATGAGCTCAACAACAGGAACATACATCAGTACAAATTTGCAATATGGTCTACTTGATGCATACATGCTGCTAATAGCATTGTGGCAGAAGAACAATTTTAATAAGTGTACCACAAAAAAGAGCAGCTATTTAACCTAATTCAGTAATCATTAAACTGTCATGTTCAAATTAAGTGTTTGCAAGACAAAGAGTTTTACATACATAACTAATTGTTACATAACCTGTCTCAATGGTTAAGGCATATTGTTCTGGCATTTAAATTTTAAAGATGGTTTAGTGATTAATTGCTGATATAGAGCAAAACAATCCAGAACTAAACACATCCAAAGATCACAGAATACATCACCTGCAAGAGGTATATGTAACTGTGTATCACCAGTATAATGTAGTTATCGTGTTGTCATTATTTAAAGTAGAATGTCCTGATCAGATCACTGTAAATGGCATAATATAAGAACTTCAATAACACTGTAGCAATTACGCACACCGTACCATGTAAGTACCACGAACAAATAACAAAATAGTATGATGAAGCTCAGCTGAATAGCCAAGATTAATATGCGGTCCTCAATTAACAATATCAAAAACATATCAATTACAATCAAATATCATAGCCTTTGCAGTCTAATTTTTCATTCATGGAATCTGCAATGAGAATCATTTCTCACCTTCATGATTGATGATGAGGAATGTTGCCGATGGACAAAGTCTTGCAAGCTTTTCCAAATATTCCCTGGTTTGTAGAAAATCTTTTGAAATAATACCAACCAATGTTTTCTCCTCGTGCAAATTCTTCCGAATAGCTTCACAAGAGGCCATTCTTAATCTTGACACTCTAGTCTGACTTCAACCGCCAATGCAACTAGGCAAGGGAATTACTTTAGTCCTCTATAAATTTGATACATCGAAGATCGCTAATCTTAATCCTTAAAATCGATTTAGCGATCGATTTTGTGTATTGTGGAACCATGAGTGGAACCAATATTCCACATTGCAGGAAACTTTTCTATGTCAAAAATAACGGGGTAAAATCATTGGGTAAAATATTCGATCACAAAAGCAACAGCAACAAATATGGTCAGCAAATACGTACTGGACATTTAAGAAATAAAAGATGTTTACTGTGTTTGCACAGACTTATACAAACCGAGGAGACCTTTGGATGAACTCGAGAGCAGATCAGTGCAAGCCCGAGACCGAAGGTCGAGTGTTGCACATGCTTGACGGTGGAGTAACCTGACGTTTACTCCTCATTTTACTCTGAAGATGACTACCGCTAAGGTTGTCGAAACGTCAGTCAACAACAACAAAAACAGTCCTTCTCAGGACTATACCAACCTGGACGATCTACATTTAGAAACATGTAACGATACTCCCGGGTTCACACCATTTACTTTATTTTAATTTGTCCTTTAAATGTATTCACGATCGATTTGCAAATTTTCTTTAACTGATTGATTGTTCAGATTGTTTAATTGGTTGAGCTCAGATGTGCTTTCCACTAGCTAATGCAAACTCAGCTCTAGACCAATCAGCGCACGCGTTTCATTGTGTTTATTTTATAAATGAGTATGACAAACAGCCTATTACAGCCATACAAGTATATTTAGCTTCTATCGGTGTGCGCTGGGTTACCAAAACCAAACGGTACTTTTACTGGAAAGTTAGCAACATTCCGAATGCATTCTAGCATGTCGTTCGAAAACATCTGTTGATGTAGCGTTTCTGGAAGGATGGACTATAGGAAGGATGTAGCTATATGCCTTTGAAGTGCCCGTAGCAGCATGAACTTTTGTTGGTGTTATTAAAACTACGTGTGATTTCTAACGTCAACCAAGGTAGTTGGAATATACATTCGCGTTGACCAGTCTCTTGCCAACGTCATAAGTCGTTCCACACTTTTCCTGACGACGAACGATGCTCATCAAAAAGAGCATTTTCCCCAACTTTAAACCGCAATAAAAATGGAATGATTTGACTAAATCGAAAACTTTTTTCATTCATACTTGAGAAATCACATCTTAATCTAATACCGCAAATCAAAATTTTTGCTAAAAGGGGCACTTTAATGACTAACTTCCAAAACGTTATTGCGTATAAAGTTATACAATTGTAATTGTTTTATTTTTATTGTAATATATTTGACTCCAGCTTTGACCTTGCAATACTGCATACCTAATTTAAAATATTTAAAATAACCAAACTTGATTATTTGCTTCGTTTTTAACACTCGTCAATAGGTAACAAAAATTTGATGTAAATGTTCAATTCCTACGAAAAGAAAACAAACACAATCTTTGAACCATTAACTCAAGTTACTCAACAAAGTCACCTCAACAAGTTGGGAAAAGGATAAACGAAGTCAAACAGCAATTTTACAACTTAATTCGTTCGAGAATGGAAAAATTTCAACTTAACCGAGATAATATACAAAGAAGTTATAGCAATGTTTTCTATACATTTATAACTTACCAGTTTCTATAAACGAAGTTGGGCTTTTATCTAGCGTACGGCTTAATTGCCTCATCGAATACAAACCATTTTAAACTCATATAAATTAAGTTCGTCCTGATGAATTGCAATAATTGTCATCGGATTTTTGTAGCCGGGCCCAGAGTCAGTTTAAATATAGCAACAAATATATTTCCAATTAAAAATACTTATAACTAGTAATCCTGTTTATAATATTTTTGCTAGATATTCGAAGCAAAAGCGTTGTTGTATTAATATTTTAAATTTACAATGAGTCGCTAATGATTCTGACTTACCCCTAGCGTATTGGTCAATATATCCCACCAAACGTCTAGTAACCTTTTTCCCAGTCTACAAGATATTTAAGTTCTTTTCCATCTTTATAGAGTTGGAAATTGTCCACAAACACTTTCAAGACCTAATAAAACAATTTACAACATATTAGCTCAACATCATCTCACAACTTTAGCTGGAATTAATACCAACGTATAACTTTAATAAATGAGATTTTAGTCAAATTTTTTGAAATGACATTTTAAAATTTATAAGAATTAAGTACTCTAGCTTACTACAGTTACTGAAACATAACTTATTTGTCCTAAATTACATTTCACCATGAGAAAGGATTATTTAATGTTTGCGTTGAAAAAACTAATCATAATTTATTATAGAGCTTTAAGCACGAAGTTTCTGAACATGGGTAGTCTCGTCTTCATTGTGTCCTTATTGTGAATCTTACTTGGTAGCTAACGATGAAAGGAGTTTAATAATAATATGTTGTTGTAATTTGTAAAGTGCCGAACGTAAGCCCCGTAAACACGATCCGATTGTTTCGGTTCCGACTTTTGGTTGCTTGTTCGATAATTTTGTTGATATTAATTTTGAGATATTTAAAGCCATGGGAGCAGACATTTACGTTTTTCAGTACATTTATCGATATATTTTTCGTATTTTTGTTCTGGTTTCCAAGTCTTTTTCAAATCTATGTAATTTGACCAGTCGGCCTCCTCTGATCATGTCGAATGAAATTAGTGCAAGTTCTAATTACGTCCGATTTTTTAGATTGACGGATCCGATTGTCGAAGGCTCACTTTTTATGCGTTCACACGATTCGTTTTAAGGATGCGAAAAATTCGGGCCTTTGCATAAAGTCGAATATATCGATAAGTGGTACATGAACGTGCTTTACACACGAACAATAAACAAAACACTTTGAAGGAGGGGGTTCGTTTAAAACATAAGAAAGGGGTGAAAGTGCATGACACTTGCGTAGTAAGAGTAGCTACAGCTCCTAATCGGTTGTTTCCAGGTATTTCGTGAGCAAGTGTTATGGAGAGTAATTTCTTTAACAGAAAGTATACAATTTCGACATACTGTATTAAACGGATTATGAACGTCGAGAGTTTTACCTATATTGGCTAAGACAACAGAAATGACTAAGCTTTGCATCAATCACAACAACTGTTAAAGCTGAAACTTTTGCCCGAGATTGAAAACTGCAAGGCCTGATAATTTGATATAGCAATGTGTAACCGCTGATTGCATTAAATAATGTATAAACATGGAATTGAGCGTCAATATTGAGCTCTAGTTGATGTCCTTGAATGAATGTCCTGAGCGTCAATATTGAGCTCTAGTTGATGTCCTTGAATAATGTCCTTATATGCACATGCGCACAAGGACATTCAGAAATAATTGAATGTCCTTGTGCGCATGTGCATATAAACATTGGTGGGGAGGAGCTAAAAAACATACATTTGTATTTACGGAGGTGTATACAATTTTTTAAGGTTTGAGTTAGTACAAAGTGGATGCCTCTTTTGCCTTTAAGACGAGGGAATTGTCGGATAATAGATCACTGTACAAATCAATACATTTTCCGTTGTATCGAGGCATGTGGATATTTCCCGCAGTCAAAAGATTCACATGCACACGGAAGCTGCACAATATGTTATGGCATCAACATTTACCATATTTGAATTGACTCGACCAGAGACGTGAGGAGTAATAAAAACTTGAGGATGACACCATAAAGCGCTTTCTTTTGGAAGGGGTTCACTTTCAAAGACATCCAAGATAGCTCCACCAATCCATTGATCATCAAGAGCCCTCAAAATACTCTTTTCGTCCAGCAGGTCCCCACGACCTACGTTTATGAAAACTGTTTTCTTAGCCCTGCAATTTTCGAGGACCTCCCCAGTAAGCAGTCCTTTCGTACTCTCAGCACTTGGTAGAATACTGACTAAATAGTCGCATTCTTTTAAACATTCTGCTAAGTCTTCTATACCAAAACTCTTGTCTACGTAAGAAAAGGTAGAAGTTGGTACAACCCGATGGATAACAAAGACTTTCATCTTCATGTTATGGCAGTATTCTGCAATAACTTTCCCTATGGATCCAAAACCAAGAATACCAATAGTCAAATCTGAAAGTACGCGGTACTTCATTTCTTCCCACGGACACCTAACAAAAAGAATGAAGTACGTCAGAATTTTCGATCTGCAGCATTTTATGAGCCCGATGTAGCTGACACAATAGCAGGTCAATTTTCCTCAGTCTGTTTTCCTAGAATTTCACATTAATCGGATTCAAAACATAGAAATCGATACTAGCTAATTATTTAAAGGCATAAATTTTTAAAAAGTATTATCCAGTAATAAACTCCTGTAATTTATTCAACAAAACGCTAAATCCGCCGGAGTCTTCCTCCACAGAAATACACATTTTAACAAATTTTAATCCAGTTAACTCCAAAACATGACCCAATATTATGAGGAGTGATGTAAACCATCATTACCGTGCCATATATAGACATAATCAGAAAAATATTTCTGCAAGACAAATTTTCAACATATATACTATTTTATAATGTACCATCATAGCTAGCAATAAGCCTCTGTTAATTAAGTCATACATAATTGAGGAATTCATCGTGAGTCGACGAACAACGATAGCGCTTTAAAAAATAGTTTGGAAATTACGCGATGCAAGATATAAAACGAAAATAGATGTTTGACGTTTTATCTCATGACTATTCACAACATGCATAAAGTGTAACTTCTTTCGATCGAGGACTAATAAGGCGGCTCTTCTGAAATTTATTAACCTTCCATGTCTGTGGAGTAAGTGAGGAATGCTGCGGTCACCGTCACCCATTCTTCGTTAGAGCGTTACTGATCTTAAAGCATTTGTCAAAAGTGTTCACTAATTTCGCCCTGGGTTTGATGGGATATGTGAGTGTAAATTTGGTTAAATTTGAAATTACAGGCATTTCCCTTAAAATTATGCTTCAATTGGACTTTCTTTTGATTTTAATTTTAATGTGCGTCATTTCCTGATTAAACATAATATTTTACAAAAATACTTTTGTTAGAAAATAATGAGCTAACATCCCATACAAAATGATAAAAATCTGCAAATCATTTGCACATCTTACCAGGATTTACTTTTTTGGTACTCCGAGCATAGAAGGAACTTTCGCTCGCGCGCAATCACATGACCCATAACGTACTCGGCGATGCTCGCACCTAACGTTCCACTCAATTTGGTCAAACTATACCGTGGTACATTACATGGCTCAATACAGTGGATTATATTATCTACGCCAGCATATGTAGCCTGCATCCATTTTAACTTAGGTAACTGATAAATCCATTCACGGACAAGTGGAGGATCTGCAATTAAGATTTCCAAGTCTTTAAGCAATCTGATGTTATTTCTGCAAGATGAAAAGTTCATAACACTTGAGAACTTTTTCACTAAACCCAACTACAATACCGTACTTAATGTAAAATACATTTTGTTATTGAGAATGCTGCATAACGCTGTTATGCAAAGTTACAAAACTTGTGATAATGCATGCAGTGATTATGCTACGTATGTACCCGTCTCACAGATTAGAGGTATTACAAGAACAAAGTAGAAATTGACTAAAGAAGGATAACTATATCAATGCTGTCAGATTTAGTGAAGACCTTAAACAAGCAGACGTTATGCTAAGATCAAATTCTAATTATGGAGAAATCTGTCTTGGTTAATATGTCAAGTAAAGATCATAAATTTCTTCATTCAAATTTAAACGTGCTAGTGACATAGTAGTGGAATTAGTTGCTTGGGATGAGCACTGCCAATCGTTCTGAGTATTAATTAAATTCTTTTGTGTGATATATTGACATCACTATATCTGCACTTTGTGTGCTGTAATGAAGTACAATTAAATGACAAAGGTTTCATGGCTATGTTTGTACAAACTGAAAGCTACAGAGCCTCCTAAAGTTTTAAAAAGGGTCTAGTCCACTCTTCAGTCCCCTCTCTACCCCAATTGAAATCAGTTTCCACACATATGCTAGCAAAATAACATACATCAGCATTATTGAAGGGCTGGATAAATAGGTACTGTGATAGGAGCTTCCTTTACTGTGTTTTAATAAGAAATGTTGAAAGTGTTAGACTAATTATGCCGTTTATACTACAAATATTCATGTAATGAAACATGTAATTTTACAATTTTCTCAGGGTTGATCATCAAAGAGTATTAATTCTAAGTTATTATGCGTTTGGATACATAAAATTTAACTAGAATCTAGTTCCTAGTTCTTAGCCTTTTGTTAAAATAACTCTCCTCATCTAAAATAACAAGATGAACATCGAAATGAGCTCAACAACAGGAACATACATCAATACAAATTTGCAACATGGTCTACTTGATGCATACATGCTGCTAATAGCATTGTGGCAGAAGAACAATTTTAATAAGTGTACCACAAAAAAGAGCAGCTATTTAACCTAATTCAGTAATCATTAAACTGTCATGTTCAAATTAAGTGTTTGCAAGACAAAGAGTTTTACATACATAACTAATTGTTACATAACCTGTCTCAATGGTTAAGGCATATTGTTCTGGCATTTAAATTTTAAAGATGGTTTAGTGATTAATTGCTGATATAGAGCAAAACAATCCAGAACTAAACACATCCAAAGATCACAGAATACATCACCTGCAAGAGGTATATGTAACTGTGTATCACCAGTATAATGTAGTTATCGTGTTGTCATTATTTAAAGTAGAATGTCCTGATCAGATCACTGTAAATGGCATAATATAAGAACTTCAATAACACTGTAGCAATTACGCACACCGTACCATGTAAGTACCACGAACAAATAACAAAATAGTATGATGAAGCTCAGCTGAATAGCCAAGATTAATATGCGGTCCTCAATTAACAATATCAAAAACATATCAATTACAATCAAATATCATAGCCTTTGCAGTCTAATTTTTCATTCATGGAATCTGCAATGAGAATCATTTCTCACCTTCATGATTGATGATGAGGAATGTTGCCGATGGACAAAGTCTTGCAAGCTTTTCCAAATATTCCCTGGTTTGTAGAAAATCTTTTGAAATAATACCAACCAATGTTTTCTCCTCGTGCAAATTCTTCCGAATAGCTTCACAAGAGGCCATTCTTAATCTTGACACTCTAGTCTGACTTCAACCGCCAATGCAACTAGGCAAGGGAATTACTTTAGTCCTCTATAAATTTGATACATCGAAGATCGCTAATCTTAATCCTTAAAATCGATTTAGCGATCGATTTTGTGTATTGTGGAACCATGAGTGGAACCAATATTCCACATTGCAGGAAACTTTTCTATGTCAAAAATAACGGGGTAAAATCATTGGGTAAAATATTCGATCACAAAAGCAACAGCAACAAATATGGTCAGCAAATACGTACTGGACATTTAAGAAATAAAAGATGTTTACTGTGTTTGCACAGACTTATACAAACCGAGGAGACCTTTGGATGAACTCGAGAGCAGATCAGTGCAAGCCCGAGACCGAAGGTCGAGTGTTGCACATGCTTGACGGTGGAGTAACCTGACGTTTACTCCTCATTTTACTCTGAAGATGACTACCGCTAAGGTTGTCGAAACGTCAGTCAACAACAACAAAAACAGTCCTTCTCAGGACTATACCAACCTGGACGATCTACATTTAGAAACATGTAACGATACTCCCGGGTTCACACCATTTACTTTATTTTAATTTGTCCTTTAAATGTATTCACGATCGATTTGCAAATTTTCTTTAACTGATTGATTGTTCAGATTGTTTAATTGGTTGAGCTCAGATGTGCTTTCCACTGGCTAATGCAAACTCAGCTCTAGACCAATCAGCGCACGCGTTTCATTGTGTTTATTTTATAAATGAGTATGACAGACAGCCTATTACAGCCATACAAGTATATTTAGCTTCTATCGGTGTGCGCTGGGTTACCAAAACCAAACGGTACTTTTACTGGAAAGTTAGCAACATTCCGAATGCATTCTAGCATGTCGTTCGAAAACATCTGTTGATGTAGCGTTTCTGGAAGGATGGACTATAGGAAGGATGTAGCTATATGCCTTTGAAGTGCCCGTAGCAGCATGAACTTTTGTTGGTGTTATTAAAACTACGTGTGATTTCTAACGTCAACCAAGGTAGTTGGAATATACATTCGCGTTGACCAGTCTCTTGCCAACGTCATAAGTCGTTCCACACTTTTCCTGACGACGAACGATGCTCATCAAAAAGAGCATTTTCCCCAACTTTAAACCGCAATAAAAATGGAATGATTTGACTAAATCGAAAACTTTTTTCATTCATACTTGAGAAATCACATCTTAATCTAATACCGCAAATCAAAATTTTTGCTAAAGGGCACTTTAATGACTAACTTCCAAAACGTTATTGCGTATAAAGTTATACAATTGTAATTGTTTTATTTTTATTGTAATATATTTGACTCCAGCTTTGACCTTGCAATACTGCATACCTAATTTAAAATATTTAAAATAACCAAACTTGATTATTTGCTTCGTTTTTAACACTCGTCAATAGGTAACAAAAATTTGATGTAAATGTTCAATTCCTACGAAAAGAAAACAAACACAATCTTTGAACCATTAACTCAAGTTACTCAACAAAGTCACCTCAACAAGTTGGGAAAAGGATAAACGAAGTCAAACAGCAATTTTACAACTTAATTCGTTCGAGAATGGAAAAATTTCAACTTAACCGAGATAATATACAAAGAAGTTATAGCAATGTTTTCTATACATTTATAACTTACCAGTTTCTATAAACGAAGTTGGGCTTTTATCTAGCGTACGGCTTAATTGCCTCATCGAATACAAACCATTTTAAACTCATATAAATTAAGTTCGTCCTGATGAATTGCAATAATTGTCATCGGATTTTTGTAGCCGGGCCCAGAGTCAGTTTAAATATAGCAACAAATATATTTCCAATTAAAAATACTTATAACTAGTAATCCTGTTTATAATATTTTTGCTAGATATTCGAAGCAAAATGTTGTATTAATATTTTAAATTTACAATGAGTCGCTAATGATTCTGACTTACCCCTAGCGTATTGGTCAATATATCCCACCAAACGTCTAGTAACCTTTTTCCCAGTCTACAAGATATTTAAGTTCTTTTCCATCTTTATAGAGTTGGAAATTGTCCACAAACACTTTCAAGACCTAATAAAACAATTTACAACATATTAGCTCAACATCATCTCACAACTTTAGCTGGAATTAATACCAACGTATAACTTTAATAAATGAGATTTTAGTCAAATTTTTTGAAATGACATTTTAAAATTTATAAGAATTAAGTACTCTAGCTTACTACAGTTACTGAAACATAACTTATTTGTCCTAAATTACATTTCACCATGAGAAAGGATTATTTAATGTTTGCGTTGAAAAAACTAATCATAATTTATTATAGAGCTTTAAGCACGAAGTTTCTGAACATGGGTAGTCTCGTCTTCATTGTGTCCTTATTGTGAATCTTACTTGGTAGCTAACGATGAAAGGAGTTTAATAATAATATGTTGTTGTAATTTGTAAAGTGCCGAACGTAAGCCTAAACACGATCCGATTGTTTCGGTTCCGACTTTGGTTGCTTGTTCGATAATTTTGTTGATATTAATTTTGAGATATTTAAAGCCATGGGAGCAGACATTTAAGTACATTTATCGATATATTTTTCGTATTTTTGTTCTGGTTTCCAAGTCTTTTTCAAATCTATGTAATTTGACCAGTCGGCCTCCTCTGATCATGTCGAATGAAATTAGTGCAAGTTCTAATTACGTCCGATTTTTTAGATTGACGGATCCGATTGTCGAAGGCTCACTTTTTATGCGTTCACACGATTCGTTTTAAGGATGCGAAAAATTCGGGCCTTTGCATAAAGTCGAATATATCGATAAGTGGTACATGAACGTGCTTTACACACGAACAATAAACAAAACACTTTGAAGGAGGGGGTTCGTTTAAAACATAAGAAAGGGGTGAAAGTGCATGACACTTGCGTAGTAAGAGTAGCTACAGCTCCTAATCGGTTGTTTCCAGGTATTTCGTGAGCAAGTGTTATGGAGAGTAATTTCTTTAACAGAAAGTATACAATTTCGACATACTGTATTAAACGGATTATGAACGTCGAGTTTTACCTATATTGGCTAAGACAACAGAAATGACTAAGCTTTGCATCAATCACAACAACTGTTAAAGCTGAAACTTTTGCCCGAGATTGAAAACTGCAAGGCCTGATAATTTGATATAGCAATGTGTAACCGCTGATTGCATTAAATAATGTATAAACATGGAATTGAGCGTCAATATTGAGCTCTAGTTGATGTCCTTGAATGAATGTCCTGAGCGTCAATATTGAGCTCTAGTTGATGTCCTTGAATAATGTCAGAAATTCAGAAATAATTGAATGTCCTTGTGCGCATGTGCATATAAACATTGGTGGGGAGGAGCTAAAAAACATACATTTGTATTTACGGAGGTGTATACAATTTTTTAAGGTTTGAGTTAGTACAAAGTGGATGCCTCTTTTGCCTTTAAGACGAGGGAATTGTCGGATAATAGATCACTGTACAAATCAATACATTTTCCGTTGTATCGAGGCATGTGGATATTTCCCGCAGTCAAAGATTCACATGCACACGGAAGCTGCACAATATGTTATGGCATCAACATTTACCATATTTGAATTGACTCGACCAGAGACGTGAGGAGTAATAAAAACTTGAGGATGACACCATAAAGCGCTTTCTTTTGGAAGGGGTTCACTTTCAAAGACATCCAAGATAGCTCCACCAATCCATTGATCATCAAGAGCCCTCAAAATACTCTTTTCGTCCAGCAGGTCCCCACGACCTACGTTTATGAAAACTGTTTTCTTAGCCCTGCAATTTTCGAGGACCTCCCCAGTAAGCAGTCCTTTCGTACTCTCAGCACTTGGTAGAATACTGACTAAATAGTCGCATTCTTTTAAACATTCTGCTAAGTCTTCTATACCAAAACTCTTGTCTACGTAAGAAAAGGTAGAAGTTGGTACAACCCGATGGATAACAAAGACTTTCATCTTCATGTTATGGCAGTATTCTGCAATAACTTTCCCTATGGATCCAAAACCAAGAATACCAATAGTCAAATCTGAAAGTACGCGGTACTTCATTTCTTCCCACGGACACCTAACAAAAAGAATGAAGTACGTCAGAATTTTCGATCTGCAGCATTTTTATGAGCCCGATGTAGCTGACACAATAGCAGGTCAATTTTCCTCAGTCTGTTTTCCTAGAATTTCACATTAATCGGATTCAAAACATAGAAATCGATACTAGCTAATTATTTAAAGGCATAAATTTTTAAAAAGTATTATCCAGTAATAAACTCCTGTAATTTATTCAACAAAACGCTAAATCCGCCGGAGTCTTCCTCCACAGAAATACACATTTTAACAAATTTTAATCCAGTTAACTCCAAAACATGACCCAATATTATGAGGAGTGATGTAAACCATCATTACCGTGCCATATATAGACATAATCAGAAAAATATTTCTGCAAGACAAATTTTCAACATATATACTATTTTATAATGTACCATCATAGCTAGCAATAAGCCTCTGTTAATTAAGTCATACATAATTGAGAATTCATCGTGAGTCGACGAACAACGATAGCGCTTTAAAAAATAGTTTGGAAATTACGCGATGCAAGATATAAAACGAAAATAGATGTTTGACGTTTTATCTCATGACTATTCACAACATGCATAAAGTGTAACTTCTTTCGATCGAGGACTAATAAGGCGGCTCTTCTGAAATTTATTAACCTTCCATGTCTGTGGAGTAAGTGAGGAATGCTGCGGTCACCGTCACCCATTCTTCGTTAGAGCGTTACTGATCTTAAAGCATTTGTCAAAAGTGTTCACTAATTTCGCCCTGGGTTTGATGGGATATGTGAGTGTAAATTTGGTTAAATTTGAAATTACAGGCATTTCCTTAAAATTATGCTTCAATTGGACTTTCTTTTGATTTTAATTTTAATGTGCGTCATTTCCTGATTAAACATAATATTTTACAAAAATACTTTTGTTAGAAAATAATGAGCTAACATCCCATACAAAATGATAAAACTGCAAATCATTTGCACATCTTACCAGGATTTACTTTTTTGGTACTCCGAGCATAGAAGGAACTTTCGCTCGCGCGCAATCACATGACCCATAACGTACTCGGCGATGCTCGCACCTAACGTTCCACTCAATTTGGTCAAACTATACCGTGGTACATTACATGGCTCAATACAGTGGATTATATTATCTACGCCAGCATATGTAGCCTGCATCCATTTTAACTTAGGTAACTGATAAATCCATTCACGGACAAGTGGAGGATCTGCAATTAAGATTTCCAAGTCTTTTAAGCAATCTGATGTTATTTCTGCAAGATGAAAAGTTCATAACACTTGAGAACTTTTTCACTAAACCCAACTACAATACCGTACTTAATGTAAAATACATTTTGTTATTGAGAATGCTGCGTAACGCTGTTATGCAAAGTTACAAAACTTGTGATAATGCATGCAGTGATTATGCTACGTATGTACCCGTCTCACAGATTAGAGGTATTACAAGAACAAAGTAGAAATTGACTAAAGAAGGATAACTATATCAATGCTGTCAGATTTAGTGAAGACCTTAAACAAGCAGACGTTATGCTAAGATCAAATTCTAATTATGGAGAAATCTGTCTTGGTTAATATGTCAAGTAAAGATCATAAATTTCTTCATTCAAATTTAAACGTGCTAGTGACATAGTAGTGGAATTAGTTGCTTGGGATGAGCACTGCCAATCGTTCTGAGTATTAATTAAATTCTTTTGTGTGATATATTGGCATCACTATATCTGCACTTTGTGTGCTGTAATGAAGTACAATTAAATGACAAAGGTTTCATGGCTATGTTTGTACAAACTGAAAGCTACAGAGCCTCCTAAAGTTTTAAAAAAGGGTCTAGTCCACTCTTCAGTCCCCCTCTCTACCCCAATTGAAATCAGTTTCCACACATATGCTAGCAAAATAACATACATCAGCATTATTGAAGGGCTGGATAAATAGGTACTGTGATAGGAGCTTCCTTTACTGTGTTTTAATAAGAAATGTTGAAAGTGTTAGACTAATTATGCCGTTTATACTACAAATATTCATGTAATGAAACATGTAATTTTACAATTTTCTCAGGGGTTGATCATCAAAGAGTATTAATTCTAAGTTATTGTACGTTTGGATACATAAAATTTAACTAGAATCTAGTTCCTAGTTCTTAGCCTTTTGTTAAAATAACTCTCCTCATCTAAAATAACAAGATGAACATCGAAATGAGCTCAACAACAGGAACATACATCAATACAAATTTGCAACATGGTCTACTTGATGCATACATGCTGCTAATAGCATTGTGGCAGAAGAACAATTTTAATAAGTGTACCACAAAAAAGAGCAGCTATTTAACCTAATTCAGTAATCATTAAACTGTCATGTTCAAATTAAGTGTTTGCAAGACAAAGAGTTTTACATACATAACTAATTGTTACATAACCTGTCTCAATGGTTAAGGCATATTGTTCTGGCATTTAAATTTTAAAGATGGTTTAGTGATTAATTGCTGATATAGAGCAAAACAATCCAGAACTAAACACATCCAAAGATCACAGAATACATCACCTGCAAGAGGTATATGTAACTGTGTATCACCAGTATAATGTAGTTATCGTGTTGTCATTATTTAAAGTAGAATGTCCTGATCAGATCACTGTAAATGGCACAATATAAGAACTTCAATAACACTGTAGCAATTACGCACACCGTACCATGTAAGTACCACGAACAAATAACAAAATAGTATGATGAAGCTCAGCTGAATAGCCAAGATTAATATGCGGTCCTCAATTAACAATATCAAAAACATATCAATTACAATCAAATATCATAGCCTTTGCAGTCTAATTTTTCATTCATGGAATCTGCAATGAGAATCATTTCTCACCTTCATGATTGATGATGAGGAATGTTGCCGATGGACAAAGTCTTGCAAGCTTTTCCAAATATTCCCTGGTTTGTAGAAAATCTTTTGAAATAATACCAACCAATGTTTTCTCCTCGTGCAAATTCTTCCGAATAGCTTCACAAGAGGCCATTCTTAATCTTGACACTCTAGTCTGACTTCAACCGCCAATGCAACTAGGCAAGGGAATTACTTTAGTCCTCTATAAATTTGATACATCGAAGATCGCTAATCTTAATCCTTAAAATCGATTTAGCGATCGATTTTGTGTATTGTGGAACCATGAGTGGAACCAATATTCCACATTGCAGGAAACTTTTCTATGTCAAAAATAACGGGGTAAAATCATTGGGTAAAATATTCGATCACAAAAGCAACAGCAACAAATATGGTCAGCAAATACGTACTGGACATTTAAGAAATAAAAGATGTTTACTGTGTTTGCACAGGCTTATACAAACCGAGGAGACCTTTGGATGAACTCGAGAGCAGATCAGTGCAAGCCCGAGACCGAAGGTCGAGTGTTGCACATGCTTGACGGTGGAGTAACCTGACGTTTACTCCTCATTTTACTCTGAAGATGACTACCGCTAAGGTTGTCGAAACTTCAGTCAACAACAACAAAAACAGTCCTTCTCAGGACAATACCAACCTGGACGATCTACATTTAGAAACATGTAACGATACTCCCGGGTTCACACCATTTACTTTATTTTAATTTGTCCTTTAAATGTATTCACGATCGATTTGCAAATTTTCTTTAACTGATTGATTGTTCAGATTGTTTAATTGGTTGAGCTCAGATGTGCTTTCCACTGGCTAATGCAAACTCAGCTCTAGACCAATCAGCGCACGCGTTTCATTGTGTTTATTTTATAAATCAGTATGACAGACAGCCTATTACAGCCATACAAGTATATTTAGCTTCTATCGGTGTGCGCTGGGTTACCAAAACCAAACGGTACTTTTACTGGAAAGTTAGCAACATTCCGAATGCATTCTAGCATGTCGTTCGAAAACATCTGTTGATGTAGCGTTTCTGGAAGGATGGACTATAGGAAGGATGTAGCTATATGCCTTTGAAGTGCCCGTAGCAGCATGAACTTTTGTTGGTGTTATTAAAACTACGTGTGATTTCTAACGTCAACCAAGGTAGTTGGAATATACATTCGCGTTGACCAGTCTCTTGCCAACGTCATAAGTCGTTCCACACTTTTCCTGACGACGAACGATGCTCATCAAAAAGAGCATTTTCCCCAACTTTAAACCGCAATAAAAATGGAATGATTTGACTAAATCGAAAACTTTTTTCATTCATACTTGAGAAATCACATCTTAATCTAATACCGCGAATCAAAATTTTTGCTAAAAGGGGCACTTTAATGACTAACTTCCAAAACGTTATTGCGTATAAAGTTATACAATTGTAATTATTTTATTTTTATTGTAATATATTTGACTCCAGCTTTGACCTTGCAATACTGCATACCTAATTTAAAATATTTAAAATAACCAAACTTGATTATTTGCTTCGTTTTTAACACTCGTCAATAGGTAACAAAAATTTGATGTAAATGTTCAATTCCTACGAAAAGAAAACAAACACAATCTTTGAACCATTAACTCAAGTTACTCAACAAAGTCACCTCAACAAGTTGGGAAAAGGATAAACGAAGTCAAACAGCAATTTTACAACTTAATTCGTTCGAGAATGGAAAAATTTCAACTTAACCGAGATAATATACAAAGAAGTTATAGCAATGTTTTCTATACATTTATAACTTACCAGTTTCTATAAACGAAGTTGGGCTTCTATCTAGCGTACGGCTTAATTGCCTCATCGAATACAAACCATTTTAAACTCATATAAATTGAGTTCGTCCTGATGAATTGCAATAATTGTCATCGGATTTTTGTAGCCGGGCCCAGAGTCAGTTTAAATATAGCAACAAATATATTTCCAATTAAAAATACTTATAACTAGTAATCCTGTTTATAATATTTTTGCTAGATATTCCAAGCAAAATGTTGTATCAATATTTTTAAATTTACAATGAGTCGCTAATGATTCTGACTTACCCCTAGCGTATTGGTCAATATACCCCACCAAACGTCTAGTATCCTTTTTCCCAGTCTACAAGATATTTAAGTTCTTTTCCATCTTTATAGAGTTGGAAATTGTCCACAAACACTTTCAAGACCTAATAAAAAAATTTACAACATATTAGCTCAACATCATCTCACAACTTTAGCTGGAATTAATACCAACGTATAACTTTGATGAATGAGATTTTAGTCAAATTTTTTGAAATGACATTTTAAAATTTATAAGAATTTAGTACTCTAGCTTACTACAATTACTGAAACATAACTGATTTGTCCTAAATTACATTTCACCATGGGAGAGGATTATTTAATGTTTGCGTTGAAAAAACTAATCATAATTTATTATAGAGCTTTCAGCACAAAGTTTCAGTACATAGGTATTCTCCTCATCATTGTGTCCTCAAACTTAGAATCTTACTTGGTAACTAAAAATGAAATGATTTTAATAATAATATATTGTTGTAATTTGTAAATTGCTAAACGCCAAGTACACAAGAAGTCTTACATAAAGTCGAATATATCGATAAGTGGTACATGAACGTGCTTTACACACGAACAATAAACAAAACACTTTGAAGGAGGGGGTTCGTTTAAAACATAAGAAAGGGGTGAAAGTGCATGACACTTGCGTAGTAAGAGTAGCTACAGCTCCTAATCGGTTGTTTCCAGGTATTTCGTGAGCAAGTGTTATGGAGAGTAATTTCTTTAAGAAAAAATATACAATTTTGACATACTGTATTAAACGGATTATGAACGTCGATAGTTTTACCTATATTAGCTAAGACAACAGAAATTACTAAGCTTTGCATCAATCACAACAAATATTAAAGCTGAAACGTTTGCCCAAGATTGAAAACTGCAAGGCCTGATAATTTGATATAGCAATGTGTAACCGCTGATTGCATTAAATAATGTATAAACATGGAATTGAGCGTCAATATTGAGCTCTAGTTGATAAAGAATATGAGGTCGATTTCAGAAATAATTGAATGTCCTTGTGCGCATGTGCATATAAACATTGGTGGGGAGGAGCTAAAAAACATACATTTGTATTTACGGGGTGTTTACAAATTTTTAATGTTTGAGTTAGTACAAAATGAATGCCTCTTTTGCTTTTAAGACGAGGGAATTGTCGGATACTAGATCGCTGTACAAATCAATATATATTCCGTGTAGTATCGACGCATGTGGATATTTCCCGCAGTCAAAGGATTCGCATGAACATGGATGATGAACAAAACGTGATAATATCAACATTTACCATATCTGAATTGGCTCGACCAGAGATGTGGGGAGTAATAAAAACTTGAGGATGACACCATAAAGCGCTTTCTTTTGAAAGAGGTTCGGGTTCAAAAACATCCAAGATAGCTCCACCGATCCATTGCTCATCAAGAGCCCTCAAAATACTTTTTTCGTCCAGCAGGTCCCCACGACCTACATTTATGAAAACTGTTTTCTTAGCCCTGCAATTTTTAAGGACATCCCCAGTAAGCAGTCCTTTCGTACTCTCAGCACTAGGAAGAACACTGACAAAATAGTCGCATTCTTTTAAACATTCTGCTAACTCTTCTATACCAAAACTCTTGTCTACGTAAGAAAAAGTAGAAGTTGGTACAACCCGATGGATAACAAACACTTTCATCTTCATGTAATGGCAGTGTTCTGCAATAACTTTCCCTATGGATCCAAAACCAAGAATACCAATAGTCAAATCTGAAAGTACGCGGTACTTCATTTCTTCCCACGGACACCTAACAAAAACAATAAAGTACGTCAGAATTTTCGATCTGCAGCATTTTTATGAGCCCGATGTAGCTGACACAATAGCAGGTCAATTTTGCTCAGTCTGTTTTTTTTTAGAATTTCACATTAATCGGATTCAAAACATAGAAATCGACACTAGCTAATTATTGAAAGGCATAAATTTTTTAAAAAGTATTATCCAATAATAAACTCCTGTAATTTATTCAACCCAACGCTAAATCTGCCAGAGTCTTCCTCCACAGAAATACACATTTTAACAAATTTTAATCCAGTTAACTCCAAAACATGACCCAATATTATGAGGAGTGATGTAAACCATCAATATCGGGCCATATATAGACATAATCAGAAAAATATTTCTGCAAGACAAATTTTCACCATATTTACTATTTTATAAAATAAACACGATGGGATGAAACGCATTAGCCTGTGCAAAACACATCTGAGCTCAACCAATCAAATCTTTCATAACAATCAATCAGTTAAAGAGAATAAATCAATCATGAGTACAATTTAGAGGAAAAATGAAAACGTTTACTTTAAATTCGTCTGTTTCGCATTATTGCTATTTTATAAAAGAAATAAAAGATGTTTGTCGTGTTTGCACGGGCTTATGCAAACCTCTTGGACGTTTGTGAGAACTCTCGAGCAGGTGTAACCCTCGACCTTCAGTCTCAGGCTTGCACTGATCTGCTCTCAAGTTCTCCCAAAGGTCTCCTCGTATGCACAAGCCCATGCAAATACAGTAAACATCTTTTATTTCTTAATTCATGTCTGTGGAGTAAGTAAGGAATGCTGCGGTCACCGTCACCCATTCTTCGCTTAGAGCGTTACTGATTTAAAGCATTTATCAAAAGTGTTCACTAATTTCGCCACAGGTTTGATGGGATATGTGAGTATAAATTTGGATTAATTTCAATTATTGGCATTTCCTTTAAAATAATGCTTCAATTGCACGTTCTTTTGATTTTAACTTTAATGTGCGTTATTTTCTGATTAAACGTAATATTTTACAAAAATATTTTTGTTAGACAATAATGGGCTGACATTTTATACAAAATGATAAAAACCAGCTATTTATGTACACATCTTACCATGTTTTAGTTTTCTGATACTCCGAGTATATAAAAAAATGTCGCTCGCGCGCAATCACATGACCCATAATGTACTCGGCGATGCCCGCGCCTAACGTTCCACTCAATTTGGTCAAACTATACCGTGGAACGTTACATGGCTCAATACAGCGGATTATTTTATCTACGCCGGCAGTAGTAACCTGCAACCATTTTAACTTAGGTAACTGATAAATCCATTTATGAACAACTCGAGGATCTGCAA